GTCAGAGCTAATAGTTACTGTACTCATAGTTTGATAATGCCAAAGTTAATAACTACTGTACTTATAGTTTATAGATAATGTCATTTGCATTTGTGGGACAATAATTTATTGTCCACTGCTTAATCCTTGCTAAAATTCATTACTTAATATACTGAGCGCCATGGAAAACGCATCACTTTTTTATATTTAATTAAGAAAACAAAATCAAAATATCAAGGGTAGATAATCTCCCAATTTATTAAGATTAAAAAGAGTCCCATAAGAATATGTTAGGAACAATATCCAGTTTCTGTCATCTGCAGAGGATGGCGAATGTTGATCAATGTTCATCATATCTTTATAAACACTACATAGTACTGAATCTTTAGAGATTCAACTTTCACAAGTTGTAGTTTGCAAAGCATTAACCCGTTAAGTGCGTAGGTCGTTATATAACGTCCTGGACAACTGCCACTCACTGTGTGTAGGGCGTAATATAATGCCTTGGAGGTATTTTCCTCTACCTATTCTTAGAACATAGTACATAATTCTTCGTTACTTCGTCAAATTAATTACATGATAGGTGTGGTAGTTAACGTTTTAAAAATGTCAAGCTTAACGGGTTAATAATCACTCAAATGATGATCAGAGACTTCAAGGATTGATTGCACTGGAATTAACTTTCTGGATTGCTACTTAACTTGCACAATTCTATAATATCTTTTCTTTATTTGCTAATTTGCTTTGTGCATAGCTCAATATTTATATTTCAGGTTTGTTAATAAGCCTCTTGTCTAATGTATCAAGTTTCTAAATGATGTAATCATAAACTGGTCAGAATTCTAATTACTCAATTATAAGTGTCACGCTAACTCAGTATAAACAATGACTTTCCTTATTACTGATTGGCAGAATTCCCACAAGGACAAATCAGGTGGTGATACAAATAGCAAATCTATAAGTATTTACATTAATCTTGAAAAATAGATAATTTTGTCATTAACAGATAAAATGGTTTGATTGATTTAACAAACTAATGATAATAACTGTGTTTTATGAAGTATAGTCTTAAATGTATTATCTGTTGGTCCACCTTATTCAAACTTGATAACCCACAAAAAATTTAAAAGAAGAAAAAGATATTCAATAGCTCAATACTATATCAGATATTTTATATGGCCCAATTTAGTGTGGATCTTCGTCTATCCCAGTAGCCGCAATGGCTCAGTGAGTAAGACGGCTCATTAACCTGGAGGTCCCATGTTCAATCCCAATGTTGGCCATGAAAGTTCATCAGGATTTTCCAGCGTGGTTCCCCCTTGTCAGTGATGCAGAACAGTGGGCCTAGCAAGGGATAACATATAGTCGTTCGGATGGGACGAAAAACCGGGGTCCTGTGTACACATTGGCATGCATGTAATAAAACCTTTGGAATTCAATATAAAAGTAGGCCGTAACACTGCTGTTCTGGCAAAATTTCCCTCGTAGCAAACTGTATGGCGTTTGCCCATCTTCATTAGTCCAGATGGAGCAGTACAGTAGGACGTTAAATCACATTTCATTTCAATTCTCCATCCATCCCCACTTATTAGTGAACTGGAGTCTTCATTTCATGCATTTGTAATGAGTTTGAATTTGAATAGATTTATTCTGAGTTATTGACCATAGCCAGATAATAGCAATAGATTCTACATTCTTAATGCAATTTCAGTGGAACTTGGTATTTTGTTTCATATCCATTAGGTCTCTAGGAGTTATTGACCTATTGTAAAATGTACTCTAAAAAGCAGTTTTTAAAAAGTTTGCTGTATCCCGATATATCTCTTTTTAACACACCTATAAACAGTATTAATCTATCATATTAAAACACAGGCTCATGATTTATACTAGATGGAATATAGGATTGACGATTTTATTGAAAATGTCTTGATTTTAAGTTGTTTAATGGTCAAGAGGAAGACATTGCGTTTAAATATCTTACACAGGATGTATGATGTGTGCATCCTGTTTAAGATATTGTAATAGTATCTCTATACTTATTCAAATAATAATGTCTGTTCTAAAATTGTATTCTGAAATATAATACATGTTGTTATTTACTTTCTAAATTGTTTGTTAGAAAAGATGATTTAAATTAGAAATTGAAAACCAGATGCAAAGAATATTATCGTGATGTTTGTCTGTGAAGATCATATCATCTAATCATCAATCATTTGAATTTGAAATTGAAACAAGCATTGAAACTAATATCTATATAACATTTCAGATAATATTTAAAATGCGGCATATATTGCTGTCACCTTATTTCTTTTTAGAATTGATATGGGTTGTGTATAGTAAGTGCAGGGGGACTGCACCACACACAAACTAATATACAAGATAAATCTACGAACAAGACACAATATACAGTCATCACAAATAACAAACGTACACATCAGATTAAGTGAATGGATCCGGGGAATAAAGGAATATTTCCCAGATGTTGTATAATACTAATACTAGTGTGGTGTCATGATCGGCTATGTGCTACATGAAATATAAATGTAGAAATGAAGACGCCTGTTGATTTTCAATGATTTTTGATGACTTCCAGAGTTATTTCCCTTTGTTGCCAAATCCTATTGTCACTGTAAAGGATTGAATTATGATCTGATCTTTCTCAAATTTATATCAGTTGTCTATCCTATTGATTTTCAATAAACAAATTGGCGGCTTTAATTATAATGTGATCTCTTTAGAATTTGTATGTGTTGCTTAGCTCATACTGCGCTGGACCCTGTTTCTCGAAATCTTAACTAAAGATAAAATCCAAATTTTAGCAGATACTTCAATTTTGATTGGCTAAGCACTAAAATCAATCTAATATTATCCAATCAAATTACTAAAATTTGGATTTTATCTTAGTTAAAATTTCGTGAAACAGGCCCCAGATGACTTTTATCTTCCGTGCATGTTTTCTCTTTATCCAGTCTTCTCAAAGTCTTAGGAGAGTTTCCTCAATTCAGAATCAATTATATAGTTCACTGTTTACTTTTAATGATGTCTTTTGAATGTGATATAGAAAAAAGGTCTGAGTGAAAATTTAAAAACTTATTATGAGAAAAATGAAACAAAAATTTTTGGCTCATTCACATTTTTTTTACTTTTAGCTTAGTACAGATCGAGTACTTAATATTGTTTTTAAAACTTGCTTTTTTGGAATTTTTAACAGTAGTTTTAGATGTAGCATGGACTATGTTCATTGGTATTGAAAATATGTTACTTATTAATAACAAAAATTCATGAAAGCACCATGTATTATATTTTGTCTACTATGTGAACTGTTTAGAGAATATGTTATATACCACAGTTTCTACAAGGTTTCAGTCAATTATCATTGGTATATAGTAGCCCAGGAGATAGGAGAGAAAAAATTGGTGGTAATATTCTTGAAAATGCTTAAGTGGATGAGAATATTGTAAAATCAGAAAAAGCTATATCCTGTTAACTGCTTTATTTTTAGCCAAACATAATTGAATATGAAGGACCTACTTAATGCGGCAAAGTCAATTATATGATAAGATGTTTTTATATTGTATGCTTAATTCAGTTCTTAATTCTAGTGAAAACAAGTTTTAACATTGTTCTACTGAAAACGCCTTTCAGTTTCAGTACTGATTACCTTTGAAAAGTCCTTGAATTGAAATGAACCACTTCTATGAAAAGCTTTTAAATTTCACTCATGTTGAAGTTTCTTGTTTCTTCAACAAAACTGTAGGGCATTTTCAGTGTCCTTGCTCAAAATTTTCATGACTTTTTTCTCAGAAAGTGTGTATTTGTCATTGAAAATTGTTTATTGACATTGAAAGATCTTATATAGAATGACCTGGAAATTCTGTACAGTTTTTTAAAGTTTGCCGGTATCAACATCCAACTGACAGTTTAATTACTGATTGGTTGATGGGCATATAGTGTGCTAGCATTTATACCTCTGCAATACATATAACCATTGTATATATTGAACATTAACATGGGTTGCTGAATACTTTTAGGTTAAATGGTTAAAAATTAAGAATTAGAAAAACTTGACTAAAAAGGTTTACTGAGCCTCTTTAATAGAGGTGACAACTATACACAATCACATAAACATGTTGATATTAAAACTAGACATAAATCACCTGACACAAACTTTGGAAATGAAATGAAATGAAATAGGGTTTAACGTCCTACTGTTCTGCTCCGACTGGGCTAATAAAGACGGGCGCAACGCCATACAGTGTGCTATGAGTGAAATTTTGCTACAGCATTCCAACTGCCAAGGGACCTTTTACATGCATACTAATATGTGCACGGGATCTCGGTCAGGCCCTCCATCCTGCATCAGTGACAAGAGAAAACCATGCATGAATATCCCGAGGAACTTTCACGGCCAACACCGGGATCAAATTCCTGACCTCCTGAGTCAGCATCTTACCCAATTGGCCACCGTGGCTCAGCTCATTTTGGAACTAATATATGGTACAATTTCATTTCAAAGTGCATTCAACCACCTAACCCTCCTCTCCTATATCACTCACCTAGCATTTGTTCATGAGTACTGTTTGATAATAACCTGCATATTCTAGGTTGTACTTGCTGGGAAGTACCCTGTATGCACATTATTCAGACATAAGTGATTGCTAGTCAAGGATGTCGTCATTGTCAGGAGATGCTAATTATATTCCCCAAAATACTCATTTATATGAAGTGATCATTGTGGACTCCGGAAATTCCTGAACTATCCCAACCGGCCTACAATTATATAATTAGCCTCTCCCAAGGATGTCACCTCCAAATGTACTTGACAACGGGCAGTGGTATTTATTTCAAACCATATCCCAGTGCTTCAGATAGTTGCTTGGAACTATGACAAAGAGTTCTATGAGAAATACCGGATTATCTTATTTCTCCTATAATGTTTTTCCATATATAATGAGTTTAATTAAGTGTGGATGAGTTTTGAGAGATATTGGTGTTTAATATGTCTGTGTATATATTTTCAGAATGTGATTGTTTGTATGGTATCTGTAATGATGGTATTAAAGGAAATGGTATTTGCAAGACAAACTCGTGTTTTGCAGGATATAGAGGAATAAACTGTGACAGGAAATTAATGAAGTGTGGTGAAGAACAGCAATACTGTCATGTTCATTCAAATTGTTACAAACAAGATGGTCATTATGAGTAAGAATTTGTTTTTTCATTTCAGTGATTCTGATGGCACAAACGCATTTATTATTTAACTGTTGATTGATTTAGAATAAATATGTCACTGATCATTAACAAATCTCCAATGGCCCTTTCGGTTGAATAGAGGTCCATATTGTGTGACTGCTGTGAAATTAAATTATCAAAATAAAGATACATCAAGCCGGATCATTCACATAACTCTCTTAAAAGTAAAAGATATGTAACAGGATGTAACAGTTGAAAAAATTTTGAATCGGTTACTTGGTAATTAAAAACCCAACGGCAAATTTTAAACCAATCTACACACATTTAATTAAAAAAGATTTAAGATTTGAAATAAATAGCCATAACCACTGGAACAAATCTTGGATGCATTCTATTTTGGCACATATAAGGCCATAGCTTCCTGGATTATTGCCTCTGTTCTTGATGGTTTTATTTCAAGCATTGACGTCGAGCATTGGGGTCATGAGAGGTTCAACCCTATCGATATTCAGCGTTCTGTGACCTTCCGTTATGGATTTAGCCTCCTTGTGAATACTATAGAGGCCACAATTTTTGATAGATTTTTTTCAAATTCAGTGTGAAACATAAGGATAATGAGTATCTTGTGGCAAAGACTTGTATGTGTTTGAGAGAATTGATTGTGTAAATATCATTCTCGCATGTTAATGTCATGATCTGGTGTTGTTACATTCAGAATTACAAGATTAATGTGTATCTCTCAACCAAGATTACTGTCTTCATAATTAGCCAAGTCAGAGCAGAACAGTTTGACATTAAAACCCATTTCATTTGATTTTAACCAATATTTACAATTATCCCATTATAAATGTGTATTTGTGAACAATCTGGCTTTGTTGTGGGTTTGAATAAGTAGTAAGAAACTTAAACCACTAGTTAAGCCTCAAGTGAAATCATAATAGTACCCTAGAAAATAAAATACACTTTTGATATCTGCGTGAAGAAATATCATTTAAAGGTTGACTTAAAGCAGCATTTGAATGTGGTTGACGATAATTCCAATCTGATTAAAACACTAGGATCTGGAAGTGTTGTTAGGTCTTCCATGTTCTGGTTGAAGCAACGGATTAGTTAATGAAACTGTCTGTTACGGTGAGTTCTTGGCACAGGGTTCCCGCGATCCTTGAAAATCCTTGAATATCCTTAAATTTAAAATTTCATTTTCAAGGTCTTTAATATCCTTGAATTTCGCGGAAATAGGAAAATATCCTTGAATTTCAGTTGAGATCCTTAATTTTGTTTCAAATGTCTTCAATTCCTTTTAAATATGAGATTATAATGATAGTTGGTAATGTTTTGGTTATTTTTAAGATGAAAAATTGTAACTTTAGGCTAAAAAATGTCCTTGAAAATCCTTGAATTTGATGTATATTTATCCTTGAATATCCTTGAAAAAATGTTTGACGAAGCCGCGGGAACCCTGTGGCATACTGTGCACAGAATTGTGGCTATTCCACTAGAAACGTCAACGCTGATTGGTTAATCAAAAGCTACTCGTACGGCTATCGACGCAACCTTCCACTACAACCGGTCAGGTCTTCATGTAGTAGAGCTGCCATCGAAAGTATAAATAAAACAAAATCAAATATAGATCTGTATTTTAATCAGATTGTGATACTTCAAGATGATTCTCTAAAATTTGAGTTTGGAGGCGCAATGGCTCAGTGAGTAGGACAATGTCTCGCTCCCAGTGTTGGCCAAGAAAGTTCATCAGTATTATCCAGCATTGTTCCCCCTTGTCGGTGTAGATTGAAGAACCTGGCATTGCACATAAAGAACCTATGACAGTTGGAATTCGGACAAAATTTCCCTCTTGGCAGACTGCATGGTGTATGTCTGTCTTCATTAGCCCAGTCAGAGCAGGAAAGTAGGATGTTAAACCCTATTTCATTTCATTTATTTTTGAGCAGAAAAGCCAACAGCTTTCCCAGTGTTGGCCAAGAAAGTTCATCAGTATTATCCAGCATTGTTCCCCCTTGTCGGTGTAGAATGAAGAACCTGGCATTGCACATAAAGAACCTATGACAGTTGGAATTCGGACAAAATTTCCCTCTTGGCAGACTGCATGGTGTATGCCTGTCTTCATTAGCCCAGTCAGAGCAGGAAAGTAGGATGTTAAACCCTATTTCATTTCATTTATTTTTGAGCAGAAAAGCCAACAGCTTTCACAAGAAATCTAAATAAATGTTTACATGGGTTATTCGGCCTCCCCTAGAAAAACATGGAGTATTTAGTTTCAGTATGTGGTCACAGAGACAAAAATTATTTAGTATGTGGTCATGGAGTATTCAGTATGTGGTCATGGAGTATTTAGTATATGTGTTCGCACAGTACCGTTACCGTATATTGATTACTATATTTGAATTGTTTTAGTTGTGTATGTAAAAATGGATACCAAGACATTTATGGAGAATGCCAAGAAATAGATCCATGTAGTAAAGCAGATCGTGGAGGTTGTCACTTACAGGTATGTAATCCCCCAGTAGAATCATATTTAGACTTTAGTTCTATTTCTAAAAGCTCCCTTATGTACTCGTAAATTAAACAATTGACTACATCTATCCATTGAACTTGTAACACTGGGTTTAGGGAATGTAGCTCATCGACAGATGTTCTCTAAGTAACAGAAATGGATATAGATTCTTGGAATGGATCTTCAGCACTTTATTTCAGGAACAAATAACAGCAACAATTACATAACTTATAATTTCTTATGAATTGTACCTCCAACTAGTATAAAGGTTCCCTAAGCTGGCCGTTCCCACTAATAATTTATCTAATGTCTTTTTATCTAAATTAGTTACTGGGTCATTCCATGTCAAGTGGAACAATTTTCAAAAATTTGGGAAATCGACCCTGTCGAAAAATTCTGGGAAAAATATATGTTATTGTACATTCAAAAACTAGAAACTGCAGCTTAAAAATTGACTGAGATAAGGGCATTGAGTTTCACGAGTTACCAATAAGTTTCAGATATCTTAATGTTACTTTTCTAGTGAAGATATATACAGCTCAAAGAACCATTCTTTTCCCATTCCATCTCAACAAGTGACAGATTTTTAGGTGCTCATCTACCGGGTTCATTTGGCTCGAAAATACAATAATTGACATAGATTGACCCAAAACACAGATTATGAAAAAATATCGAGATGGCATGGGACAAGAATGGCTTTAACATATGTTGGAGATATTAGTACAAACTATAATTACACCAAGTTTCAGAATTTTCGGTGCTCATCTACCGGGTTCTATCGACTCGAAAATATGAGGCAATTTTTGAAAATTTGTGCCTGAAACCATATTCAACACCAATTTTCTGGGAATCTAGTGAAGACTGATGCATTTTCATATGTTTCTTATGTAGTACTACTGGTAATCTCTGGATAGGCCACAATTTGGGTTTATATTTATTATTTTGTATCTCCTGGAGCTATACAAAATCCAGAAAATATACAATTACACCAAGTAGCATGCGAACCCTACCACGCACCTGTAATCCGATTACAAAAAGTTCTTTAAGAATACTAACTTTGAGCTGTATATCTTCACTTGAAAGGTAAAAATAAGATATCTGAAACTCAAGTAAATTATTGATACATATTTTGCTTCGAAAACTTATCGGAAACTCAAGCTACAGACCACAAATTTTGCAGAGTTTCTAGTTTTTACATGTACAATAACATATTTTTTTTTTTCATATTTTTTCGAGGGGGTCGATTTCCCACCCCTGGCCCACTTGACATGGAATGAAACTACTATGAATGTGTTGACATAATTATTGGAATAAGTCTTGAGACATTTAAAACAATAGTTAAAGGATCTTATAGACAGATCAACCACTTACTTGTCAGCCTGTCATAATTTAAATTGACAGGTTAATTGCTGTCTGTCTCTAATGGCTAACCAAGCATTAATGAATATAGATTTGAATTTAAAAACAATTAAAAAATAATAAAGTAACATATATGAGCTAGATATTGGTCATTTTTGCTTGAAATTTTTATACTCTTCGTTCGGTGAAATTACTTTTGAACTGTAATCCTAAATCATTGAACAGAATCTTTCTGTATGTCTTCGATCTTTTTCTCTTTTATTGATTGTAGTTTTAAATGTAGCTTTGAGCTTCAAGTGTCTCATTTTAAAACTATTTTCGGAGACATAATATCTATAATGACCTATTTACACAGATAAGGTTTAGAATATGTCTTTGCTACTGTCAGAGTTTAAAGGAACTCGGGGCAATAGAACCATTTTTAAGATGAAATCTGTTCATATTTAAAGAAATGGAAGCTTATTGACCCTGTTTCATGAAATTGACGTTTCTAGTAACCCAATTCCATCTTCTGTTAACCTAACTAAAAAAGGCCAACATTCAAAATTTGGAAAGAGAATCTCCAGATTGACCAGAATACAACAGATTATGGCCAAATACTCTGCTATTGCTACAAGTTCATTTAATATTCTGAAATATGATAGATGTTTTCTTTCTGTTATGATTCTGGAATCGGGAAGAATTAATTTTTGGTTAAAACAAATTCAGTTGTCACCCAGTAGCTAAAAGCATATAGAGAGCACATCTCTCTCTTCATGGAGGTTTGATGCTTTTCGTAGTATTCAATACTTTTAATGTAGTTAAAGGTTGACTATAGCCTGAGGCAATTAATTTGCTTTGCATAAATGAGTCAAATTTACCCTTCGCCGTCCGGTAGTTAGATTATATTTGGTTAACTATTGATATTTTGAACTTTTTCTTGCATAGGCAACTTGTACTAAAGTGGGACCAGATATGCCTAAATGTGATTGTAATAAAGGATGGATTGGTGATGGTTTTTATTGTTATCCTGCTACTCCATGTTCTCAGCATCAAGATTGTCATCCAGACGCTGAATGTAGTGACTTAGAACCAGGAAGTGTAAGCTTTACTTTAGATGACATTTAGAAAGAATATTTTAATTTCTGGGCTTCAAATTAATATTACTATTCAAGAGCTAAATCTGCCTATAACAGGTCTTTTTTCTAACTTCAAATATCATATAAATTATTATTTAGACATTTATTCACATAGCAAGCCCATTCTACTCATTACTGTGCTCAAAATAAAGTAATTTGACAGAAATTTTCTATATATCCATTTCTTATCTGTTTTTGAACTATTATATATAGCAAGAACAGCCATCTCTTTCTTTATCTAAATCTTATATAATGCTTCTTTAAATTGTTAATGCCTCTAACTATGGAAACAAATACAGACAGAAATGTTTTTTTCTTATTTGGAAATGAGGATTCAATTTGATTATTGCAATAATTTTAAAAGAATAAAAATCAAAACGAATACTATTTTAGTCTTTATAATTGAAGGCTAATGCTATTAAAACATAGAAATTCTATAAAAACAATAATATCTTTAGGATTTAGAACTTCGAGAGTCTTCATAAAAATTTACAGGATTATTTTTCTTCTATTTTAAACCTTGTACTAAATGTTACTAATTAGGATTTTTTTAGTTCTTTTTTTTAAAAAACATTCTGCTATGTCAGATCTTTATTTTGTTTCGTTTTTTATACGCTCACATTTTCATATGGACGTATGTTGTCGCCGCCCCTGTTTGTCGGTCCACAATTTGTTTGTGGACACTACAAAGGTCACAATTTTTATCTGATTTTGACAAAACTTGAAATATACGTTTATATACCAATGGTCTAGGTTCGTTTTGATATTGCCATGTATCGAACCGTAACTTCATAGATTATGGCCCCTGATTGTACGAAAAATCATGTTTAGAGGTCACAATTTTATCTGATTTTGATAAAACTTAAAATGTAAGTCTATTACCCAAAGAACTTGGTTCCTGTAGATATTCGTGTATATAGGACTGTAACTTCTTGGATTATGTCCCCTGAATGTTCGAAAAATCAGGGTTTTTTTTAGCTTGTGGACCCTCTAGAGGGCATATCTTACCTGGCAACCGCTGGTTTATACTATCGATGGCCTTCACTACATGATGGTCTGACCGGTTGTAGTGGGAGGTTGCGTCAATGGTCATACGTGCTGCTTTTGACCCTATGACGTCAGACATTTAATTAATCAATCAGCGTTACATTAGCTAACCCCTCACATCAACCAGAATGTGGGTTCTATAACAACTCTTCCAGATACTAGTGTGGTAAAAGACAACTATAACAAAATTTTGAACTATAACAAACAAAACGAAATAGGATCAATGCTTTAATCAGATTGGTTTGTAACTTGTATCCTCATTTCATTTATTAAGTGTGGGTATTGAGTAAAGTGTTTTTTAGTTATTCGAATAGGATGGAAACCAAAGTCCACTCATGTTCATGTTTGCGTTTATATACCAGTTGGATTCAATGAAGTAGGCTATAGATGGAAGTGCTATTGTTGGCAAACTTCTCCTCCCTAACATTCCATATCCGATATTAGGAAAAAATCTCAATTTTGTTTCAATTTGACTGTTGTATATTGTGTTGGCAAGACGTTAAACTCCATTTCTTCATTTAAAGGGAGCCTCAGTGACTAAGTGGGTAAAAAATTGGCTTGCTAGCCTGGAGGCCGCTGGTTCGATCCAGGTGTTGGCCGAGAAAGTTAATGGGGATTTTCCGCCGTGGTTTCACCTTGTCAGTGTAGGACAGAGGACCTGACAAGGACAGCTGTCCAGTCATTTGGATGGGAAGAAAAACCAAGGTCCTGTGTACAGATTGGCGTGCATGTTAAAGATCGCTTGGCAGTTGGAATTCGATATAAGAGTAGACAAAATTTCCCACATAGCACACTGTATAGCACATGCCTGCCTTCATTAGCCCAGTCGGAGCAGAACGTTAAACCCTATTTCATTTCTTTTCATATTCATTACAAAATTAGCAGATTCTACTATCTAGTACCATATTCATATATATTATATTATAGACAGAAATTAACAGCAGCATTCTGGTTCTTAATACATGTTCCTAAATTGATAATATTCAAAGAATAATAGAAGAAGACAAATTGTTGTAATTTTATTTTGTCTCTGAGTGGTATTGAAAAGGGGTTTTTTAATTACAGTTTAACTGCATATGTAAAATTGGTTTCCATGGTAATGGTACAGTATGTGAAGTTTCCAATGTCTGTCAAGTAAATAATGGTGGTTGCCATGAAAAGGTAAGTTGAAGTTGGGTGTATTAATGATCCTGGGTTGAATAATTCTGTACATATAATTATAAACACACATCTTAATACTGTTGTATTTTAGTCACCCGGTCTGTTAATTCAAGACTGATTATGGGAGCATTATAAAATTTTGGTAGGTTGTTTAGTTTATTGAAAGGAAGACACCTTACTTCCAGAGTTAATCCCCTTGTTAACACTGCAGAGATGACAATTTAAATTAGGGTTTGTTCAGCTAATAAAAAAAAGACAGCTATTTATATATTTATTTATATGTTTTTCCAATTTTATGTGAGTTCATAATTTCCCCATTCCAAATTCTGAAAGTGTGCAACCATAAATGCAGAATGGTTGCAAAATTCACAACATAAAATCAAAATTTTCGGATCAATAAAGTTCTAGTTAAATCCCATTCCATTCCATTTAGTACTTTTAATGTTGGTGTTGTAAGAACGTGATTCATTAGGATAAAGCAGGTGCATAGAAGAAAACGTAATGTCTATTGTCTTCTTTAATAAATGTTTAAGAGAATTATTTCATTTAACTATTAAATCACTTCAAATTTATGACCACAATGTAAAAAATTAAAAGAATATGTTTACCAGGTTGCCATGATTGTTAAATTTGATGAGATGTTTTAGCTCCCATATGGAGTTGTCGTGTTATTTTTGTGCGTTATAATCAGCCTACCCGCCTCTATCGAAAACCTTTGAGGATTATGATCAATAGATGTAAATGCTATTATCATCTATTATGTGTGGTTTTCTAATGTTTTTTTTATATGCACACATTTTCATGTAGACGTATATTGCCGTCGCCCCTGTTCATCCATTCACAATTTGTTTGTGGACACTCTACAGGTAACAATTCTTATCTGATTTTGATGAAACTTGACATAGTTTTATTTCCAAAAGATCTTGGTACCTTTCGATATTGACATGTATCGGGTCCAAACTTTATGGATTATAGGCCCTGATTGTACGAAAAATCACGTTTTAAGCCTGTGGACACTCTAGAGGTCACAAATTTTATCCAAATTAAATGAAACTTGAAATATATGTTTATAACTCAAAGATCTTGGTCCCTTTCGATATTTGCGCATATCGGACCGCAAATTCCTGGATTATGGCCCCTGATTGTATGAATAATTTTATTTTTAGCTTGTGCTCCCCCTAGAGGTCACAATTTTTATCCGATTTAAAAAAAAAACATTCAAATATTTTACCGTTACACCATAATGAAAATCAAACTGAAACTACAGGACAAAATGGCCACTCTAAGTACGTAAATAGTGTTAAAGTATGTAATATCAAGGTTGCAGGTCCGCTAGGGGTCACACTTTTTATCCGATTTTGATGAAACTCAAAACATGTGTTTATGTCCTAAAGATCTTGGTTCCTGTCAATAATCGCAGTTATCGGATCGTAAGTTCCTGGATTATGGCCTCTGATTGTACGTAAAAATCGTTATTTTAGCTTATAGACCCTCTATAGGTCACAATTTTTATCTGTTTTTACACTCGTTTTACTATATTACCATTACACCCTAATAATGGATGAGTTCGAATTTCGTGAAAATCGGACCAAAACTGCCAGAGAAAATGGCCGCCCCTCGTATGCAAATAGTGTAAAAATATGGTATATCAAGGTTGTGGACCTTCTAGAGGCCACAATTTTTATCCGATTTTGATGAAACTTTAAATTTATGTTTAAATCACAAAGATCTTGGTTCCTTTCGATAATCGTGGATATTCGAACGTAACTTCCTGGTTTATGGCCCCTGATGGTTCAAAAAATTGCATTTTTAGCTTGTAAGCCCACTAGAAGTCACAATTTGTATTCAATTTTTAAAACCGTTTGAATATATCACCGTTACACATCAGTGAAGGTTGAGTTTAAATTTCGTAAAAATCGGATCGAAATTGCCAGACAAAATTGCCGCTCTTTGATGGTTCGAAAAATCGCATTTTTAGCTTGTGAACTGGCTAGAAGTCACACTTTGTATTCAGTTTTAAAAACCGTTTGAATATATCCCCGTTTTGTAAGCAAATAGTGTAAAAATATGTAATTGCATGATTTTGGACACTCAGAAGTCACAATTTTTATCCGATTTTAATGAAACTTGAAATGTTTATAATCCAAAGATCGTGGTCCCTTTTGATATTTGCGCATATTGGACCGTAACTTCCTTGATTAAAAAAACGTTTAAATTTATCACTATTACATACACCCTGACGGTTGAGTTCGATTTTCGGGGAAATCGAAACAAAACTGCCCCAACAAAAACCATCCCTTGCAAAATGTGGGCAACCGCTGGTTATCTGATTTTTATGAAACTTAGAATATATGATCTTAGAAATTTCGCTTCCTTTTGATATTCGCCCATATTGGATTATGGCCCCTAATTGTACGAAAATCGCTTCCTTTGTTTTTAACTTGTTTTCTGTCCATCTCTATGTGGGCGTATCTTGCATGACAACTGCTTGTTTTTTCTTTCAGGCAATTTGTACATCAACTGGACATGGAACAAAGAACTGTACATGTGGCAAAAATTATGGTGGTGATGGCTATACATGTTATGCTTCTATATCTGAGGAAATCAAGATTCACCCAAATCTTACTTTACTGGCTAAATTACTAAATGTTAGTTCATATACAACATATTTAAAAATAAAAAGACCTAAGCTCAAGAAAAAAATACATGTGTTTATGGTTACTTACCCCCGCCCCAAAATAGGGTCGGTCGGAAAATCTTTTGTTTTTTTTACTTGGCTGAAATTGTCTGGTCAGCATGTTGGTCCTTGTGATTGCCACTGTTTGTTGCTTTTTAAGAATTCAGTTTTCTGAGAAAGTCAGAGTACCTAAAGCCTACTAACCTTCCTCATCAGACAATGTAAAATTACTTTTAAAAAATTCTGTAAACTGAATAAATAAAAATACTGGTAGTAAAATTTTCTGTTAAAAAATTATCTTTGGCATACAAAGTAGACATATAGTTGACAAACTCTGATTTCCAGGTTTCATAAATCATAAACTTAGTTTTTGCACTTGGGTACAAGTAAACACTCTATCGTCATTAATTGTCCCGCGCCTTTCGAAGAAAGCAGGGGACTATTAAAATGGGTTCATCTGTCTGTCCGTCTGTCTGTCCATTACACTTTGTGGGACACAATAACTCTCTTTCTAATTGAGCTATAATGTTTAAAATTGGTATAGGTGTGTATTAGGTTGATGCCTTGATGGAGTTCGAAGATGAGCATTTTCTGCTTAGGGTAAGCAGAGATAAGCAATTTGATTGGTTGATGCTTTGGGACACGATAACTTTAGTTCTAATTAAGTGAGAGTGATGAAACTTGGTGTATAGTTTCATTACATCAATACCTTGATTAAGTTCGATAATGAGCATTTTCTGCTCAGGGTAAGCAGAGCGATAAGCAATTTGATTGGCTGAGACTTTGGAACACAATAACTTTCCTTCTAATTGAGCTAGAATGTTCAGACTTAGTGTAGGTGTTTATTGGGTCAATGCCTTGATGGAGTTCGTGGATGAGCACTTTTTACTTAGGGTAAGCAGAGATAAGCAATTTGATTGATTGATGCTTTTGGACATGATAACTTTAGTTCTAATCAAGTGAGAGTGAGGACACTTGGTGTATAGCTTTATTACATCAATACTTTGACTAAGATCGATGATGAACAGTTTCTGCTCAGGGTAAGCAGAGCGATAAGCAATTTGATTGGTCAAGACTTTGGAACATAACAACTCTGCTTTTAATTGAGGTAGAATGTTTAAACTTGATGTAGATGTTCATTAGGTGAATGTCTTGACTGAGTTCAATGATTAACATTTCGAGCTAAGCAATTTCATTGGTTGATGCTTTGGGACAAGATAACTTTGATTCTATCTGATAGAGAGTGATGAAATTTAGTGTATAGTTGATAATCAGTTTGATTGCATGATACTTTTGAAAAAAATAAAAGTGCTATTAATTAATATGTGTCATCTATTTATTTTGGGATTTCGGCGAGGGACATCAGCCTCACTGTTGGCTTGTTTGTTAACACCTGTACATTGCCTTGATACACATATATGAAATAATGAATAATTTTCACAATTATGTATCAGCTGAGTTAATACATAAATGCGATTATTAATTCATTTGGAATAAGGAATAAGGTCTTCGTTATAGCTCTTCATCTTATAATTATCACATTATACCTGGATAATACCTCAATTTATTAGTATTAATTGTTAGTTATGCACCAGATAGAACACAGGTGTCAGTAGCTAATGTCAGCTTTTAAGATGCATTATGTAAGAACTAAATCTACCTATTGTAGGTCTTTACTTGGCATCAAATGTTAAATAAATTATAAATGATGTGATTATGCATATTGAATAAATGTAGAAGGACTATGTTTTATTTTAGCCAGAAATATTAACTACAGAGGTTAAATATGATGCAATAATCGATACGTAAACACCCACACATTTATCACATACTTTTTCGCCCTAGTGAGTCCCCCTTGAACTAGAGGTGCATGTTATTTAGGGGAGTAAAAATTTGTTACTTTTTCCAAATGATCAATGTCCTTTTTGAACCATGGTCTGTGACCAATTTCATATTGGTACTTTAAAGATTGTAAAGATTACTGATATGATTTTAGTAGCACATGTCCCGTCACCAACTGAGACATAGAACAAATTCTTAATGCCATTTAAAATTATCAGGAAAGTGTTAGCTTCCATACCTTTGGGGTTTTCACTTACAAGTTCAATATTTAAAGAGACATTGCTACTGTATTTATGCAGAGTAACCATTGAAATTGTGATCTGAAGCAGAACTTGAGATCATAAGCATAATACCTTTCTTCAGGAAACTGTCTTAAGAAATAATTAAGAACTCTGTATTCTTGGTTTGAGGAAGTAATGAATTGACTCTTGAGATGATTGATATCAGAGACAATTGGGTTTGTTTATTAACTGGGTGTATAAAGCTTAGACTATCAGAGATAAAGTAACAAAGATACTACCATGAATTCTACTCAACAAAATAATGTGTCCAAACTAATTCAAGTCAGGCAGTAGGTTTCAACATTGAAGATTGTTCTGAAGGGATCATTGTCTCCAGCTCACTAAGTTCAAGAGACTTTTGTCAGTTCTGAATACTTTTGGGTTTTTTTCTAATATTGTTTAATTACACAGGCATATGCAACTTACTAAATTAAAAATTCTTAAGATGATTTTGTTGAAAATATGAAACCTGCAGCTCTTTCTTTATCTTTTTATGATGCATATAAAAGGAAATAAAACACTTGAGATACAAGCAAAATAGTAGCAAGATAAGCCTTTAAGTTAGGTCTAAATAAAGTGATAAATTGGGTTGATCTAGTGTGTTATCTTGGTTAGTAATAGAACAAGCTCTAAACAATTCAATTTTTATTTCGAAAGATTAAACAAAAGTCAGCAGTTTTTTTATTTTTGGCTTACTATGTCAACAGTGGAATACATGATCTCATCACTGGCTTTATCTATGAATATAACATTTTCCTTTCCAAGAAGACAGATCATCGTTCTTCCAAACTAATCAAAATATGAAATCCAACAAAATCAAAAATTTATTTTTGGCCGAAATATATCAAAGCACATAGTCAATTTAATTTCATATTTTATTTTTAAGAATTGTACTATAAAAATGAAATTTCCTTGATTCTGTTTGGTTAACTCATGTAAACAAATACCACTTTAAACTTTGCAATGCAAGCACTGCCCAGGGGTCTTTTCTTGGCATGATGGGTTACAAAAATGTTTCACTTAAAAATTTCAGAAAATATTCTGGAATTTATCATTAGGTTGCATTGAAATCAAAAAGAAAAGTTTTGTACATATTTTAAAACTGAACATAGTAATCAATATCAATCCAGAGAAAGTTGAGTGGTCAGGTGACTCAGGCCACTGGATTCTTCACTATAATGACCCTAGTTTATAATAAGTCTCATCATGGGCTGTCTTGAATTTGTGAAACAGATGATTTATTATGAAAAATATACTTGAAATAAATGTATGAACCTTTATAATATATATATATATATACTGCAGTAGAATGCTAAATTTGTTTTATTTTAGGTTTTAGATGAAAATGATAATATACTAAATTTTGTGGAGAGCAATTATACATTTTTTGCCCCTACTGATGATGTCATGTCAAAATTACTGGGTGATGGGGAGGCTGATTATTGGAAAGATGATGAAAATGTTCTTTCTATGATTAGGTATGGTTTATGTTTATGTTTATTGATTTTTGGAAAAGAAAGGATGATCTAGTTCTGGAAGGACTGAATTAACAAGCAGGGATGTGTGATGAATTGCATGTGGAGACTGGATAATGATGACTTGTATGTTTTCATCAGCAAATGATTATGTTAGTGAATACATGGAGTAGTGATTGAATGATCTTAATTTAAGTGATTAGCTGGTTTAGTGATGGAATGATCTTGATGTAAGTGATTAACTGGGTTAGTAATGGAATGGGGTGACTTGATTCCTAAATAGTTGAGATGAAGTGAATGAATTCAATGATGAATTGATAAGAGGTTTTCAGACAGCATCTTTGACAAAGGGGAATAATCATTTAGTTTGATTGGTTTTCTGAATGTTTATTGTTGGTATATATATATATATATATGATATTTATTTTTAGGTTCCATACATTAGATAAAGAGTTTGATATTGAAAGTTTAAAACAATTAGCCAAGTTTTATGGTAGATTTGACACCTTATTTGATGGTTATTCTATCAGTATAGCTGTTAAATCACAGGTAAGTTGTGTGCTCTGTATAGCTGTTATATCACAGGTACGTTGTGTGCACTGTATAACTGTTAAATCATAGGTAAGTTGTGTGCTGTGTATGGCTGTTAAATCACAGGTAGGTTATGTCCTGTGTATAGCTTTTTAATCACAAGTTGGTTATGAATACTGTGTGTAACTGTTCACAGATAGATTGTGTGCTCTGTATGGCTGTTAAATCATGAGCATTCTGTGTGTGTGCTCTATAATTAACTGTTAAATCACAGGTAAGGTGTGTGCTCTGTATAGCTGTTTAATCACAGGTGGGTTATGTGCTTTGTATAACTGTTAAATCATAGGTAGGTTATATGCTCTGTTTTTCAACCACATGTAGGTTATTTGCTCAGTTTGTTAAATCACAGGTAGGTTGTGTGCTCTCTATAACTGTTAAATCACAGGTAGGTTGTGTGCTCTGTATATCTGTTAAATCACAGCTCAGTCGTGTGCTCTGATTAGCTGTTAAATCACAGGTCAGTCTTCACTCTGTATACCCGGTAGTTGTTAATTAAATCACAGGTAGATTGTGTGCTATGCATAGCTGTTAAATCATGGGCATGATGTGTGCTCAGTATAACTGTTAAATCATAGGTAGATAGTGTGCTTTGTATAGCTGTTTAATCACAGGTCGGTTATGTCCTCTGTATAACTGTTAAATCACAGGTAGGTTGTGTGCCCTGTATAACTGTTAAGTCACAGGTAGGTTGTGTGCTCTATATATCTGTTATATCACAGGTCAATTGTACATGTGTGCTCTGTATAGCTGTTTATGTCTAGTTTCTGTGGGGTTTTTTGATAGTTATAATCAGGTTAGCTCTTTTAAAATTTTGCTGGTTGGACATTTTTAGTTGGGTTTAATAAAGGCCAGGTCACCAAAAAGTCATCAATACACCAAAAATAAGCTTCCATTTAATACACGTGTAGTATAAGTTTAAAAGCACACTTAAATATTTTTATTTCAGCATCTGCTAATGTAGCACACAATCTAATTTAAAGATGCTCAATTCAATTTGCAATCAACCATTTGCAGCTTGCTGAGTTGCTTTTTCAACTATGTTACCAGTGATTTTTGTTCTTTCAGGGAGTATTTTTATTAACAACTCTAGGAGATGAAGCTAAGATAATACAGTCTGATATACCAGCTTTAAATGGTTATATACATATCATAGACCAGGTAAGATCTTTTTTACTATAATTAAATCATGTACTGGAATCCATTAAAGGTCTTGTCGATATATCTTAACTAATGGAAGAGGATTGATTGTAGTTATTTTTGCACCTGTTACCCCTTTGTTTGATGAGCTGTCGGACTGAATTGAATTGCCCTTGATTTAAATCTTAAAACTTACTTAAGATAATCACGCTTGTAATAAATATTGTTTCAATAGGCATTACACTCTGATACTACCTGGACAGTGCCAGATTTAGATAAAGAGATACCCAAGGCTATTCGACTTAAGTATATCAAGGTTGTGGTCCCTCTAGAGGTCACAATTTTGATCCGATTTTGATGATTATAACCCAAATGTCTTGGTTCCTTTCGATATTAGCGTATATCGGATTGTAACACCCTGAATTATGGCCCTTGATTGTAAGAAAAATCACGTTTTTGCCTTGTCGTTCCTCTAGAGGTCACAATTTTTATCCGATTTAAAAAAACGTTTGAATATATCACCATTACACCCTAATGATGGTTGAGTTTGAATTTTGTGAAAAACGGATCAAAACTGCCAGACAAAATGGCCGCCCCTCGTACTTTTCTGTTATTGGAGAAGTTGATGCATTGATATGTATACACATATTGTAGGTTCTGGAGCCATTTTTACCAGATGCTGATCAGCCAGATCTAGAAGAATTTTTCAGTACAAAACCAGAATATTCATTCTTTGGTCAACAGTTGGATGTAAGTTAAAAGTTTCTAACCAGATTAATGCCTGTGTCTGTTCTGCAATAGTTTCTTGTGATTCATTGAGTAAGGTGCTGGCTTGCTAACCAGGAGTACCGAGGCTCGTTACTGGTATTGGCTGAGAAAATTCCCCAGAATTTTTAGGGTGGTTTCCCCTTGTCAGTGGGTAGTGTGTAGGCCGGTAGGGCCTGGCAAGGAACAGTGTATAGTCATTCAGATAGGACAAAAAAGCAAGGTCCTGTGTGTATTGGTGTGCATGTGAAAGAACCCTTGACAGTTTTAGTCTTTATTAGTCCATTCGGGGCAGAGAAGTAAGACGTTAAACCCCATTTCATTTAATTTTCCAGGGTTTCATCCTTTTGTCATTCAGTTCAGATTTTGTTTTCTCTGAACATATATACTGGTCTGGTAGTTTAGAGGAACATGTCGAATTTAGTAATCTTGACTTTTGATTTTAGGCTATTGAAAAATTAAAATTACATGTATTATGGGTTAAATTGTTTGGTAGCTGAATCAATTAACCAGCACTGGGTCAGACAAATTATTCAATGGGAAAATATAGAATGTTTAAACATGTTATATTATATGGGCACTTGACAGCTAAGGTCATATTCTGTTTCAATTGTAAATCTTGTGGTTCATCAAAGCTGTAATAAGACTAGTGTTGTATGAGTATAAGAGAAGACAAATGGTTTTTACTAATTAATTCTTTTAAAGATATAGCTAGGTTACACTTTCTTCAGAATCCGCTGTGGCTCAGTGAGTGAGGCACTGGTTTACTAGCCACTATGTACAGGGTTCCATCCATGTGTTTGTCAAGAAAGTTCCAGTGTGATTTCCCCCTTTTCAATGGATGCAAGACTGAGGACCTGGCAAATTAAGTGTCTAGTTGTTTGGGTGGGGCATAAAAGAAACTTCGACAGAAGCCCAGTTGATGCAGAAAAGTAGGACATTAAACCCCATTTCATTTCATATATTTTCATCTATTTTGAATCCCACTTATGTTTATGTATTGCTTTAATTTATTTAAGCAAAAGAATCTGATAGAGTATTTAGAAGGAATGGAAGAATATACACTACTTGTACCAACAAATGAAGCTTTTCTAGAAATTAACTCAACTATTGTAAGTTTTCAGTATCTTATAACAAGATAATAATGCCATTGATTTTCTTTGAAAGAAAGCAAGGGATGATTAAAATGGGTTCGTCCATCTCTTTGTCTGTCTGTCATAGTTTTGGGAGACAATAAGTCTGCTTCTACTTAAGGTAAAATATTCAAACTTGGTGTAAATGTTCAGTATGTCACAATTTCTATGGAACAGGGAGGGATGCTACTTCGCCAATATATTTCAGACATGTCCTAAGCGATTTTCCAAACATCAGACCAGGAATATGCCTAATCGGACATCAAGATATGTTGAATAATATTCAAAATTCCAAAATATATTGACTGAACTGAGTGAATAATTAACTACTGCTCATCTTGATTATCATTGATGAAAGGCTGGATTGATTAGGTAATTAAATGATCAACGTATTTATAGTGTTATACAGTCTATAACACTATAACTACTTATTCTGCCTTGATTTACTGACTTAATCCTTTGTCGGACTATTCATCAATCCAACCCCAAAAAGAAGTCGTTGCTTTTTCTTTGTCAGACTATAATTTATCAATCCAGTAAGAGTGATTTAAAACTTATTCAACGTGATTACCTCGTGGTTTCACCATTTAAATCTCCTTGATGTCAGCCGACAGCATGTAGAAACTATTCCTAGATATCACATATCCTAATAGTATATAACAGCCCAAATCAATGGAAAGTCATTATAACTTTCAAAATGCTTCGATCTACCGAGCATAAACGTGACGATGCTGATGACACACCTATGTGCGAGGTTTCTGTGCCATCACATATTAATTGTTATCTGTAAAAATTTTCCTTAGTAAGAATTGCCATGTGCATGGTCCCACCTGACAGCCCATTTGCCATTACATAATTCTTTAACTATTTTTGATTCACTGACAACAAAATATTCAGTATATATACGTAAAATGTATCCATATGAATCGCTGCCTATTATTAGCCATTAATAAACAACTTTAACTTATTATCTTTAATAAAACTACGTCTTTTCAGACTCCATATAGAAATTCCTAACTGCAGTGACATTTTCCCACGATCTCGCTGTCTCATGGAAATCATCTCTTATCAGGCATTGCTTACTACGAACCTAGTAAAATGGTTGAATTTGGCTATGTCTTTTTACAAGTGATAAAACTAACAATGCCATTTTAAAATACCATTTTATAAAAAAGAAAATGATGTTTAGGTATCATGAACTATTCTTATCACGAACGTTTCAATTTCATTTTCTATTTTACAAATGAAGGCAGGTAATTATTAAGGAATAATATTGACGTAGATTTGAAGCCTGTATAGGAAATAAATATGAATAATAGCGAGGACCACCTAATTTTTTGTACTAATCATAAACATTATTCTGAACACGATATACTATATAATATGAAATACAATGCAATTACTGCTTATTACTGAGCGATGTTTTCGTGACCTGTATAATCCAGTTCAATTACTAAATGCCTTTGAAACAATTTGTTCAGTTGTGAATGTTTCAACTGGGTTCAATGATGATCATTTACTAAATTTGATTTATTGATGCTTTCGAACACGATATCTTTAATTCTAGCTAAGTGAGAGTGATGAAACTTTGTCTGTAGTTTCATGACATCATTACCTTGAACAAGTACGATAATGGACAGTTTCTTCTCAGATAAAGTTATTTGATCCCTCATTGCTTTATAAAAAGATACTGTGCAAGTAATTAATCAGTGTTATCTATATTTCAGAGATTAAGGCAGCCTTCTAAAATTTATAATTAGATTTAGAATTTATTTGAGTTAAGGTTTTACTAAGAAAAATAATGTTTTATACAAAGGTCCCTCACCTTTATGGTAGGTTATTTGTAACTGTAAGAAATCTTACATGTCATAGCCTTTGCAATTACAATTTAGTTTGATGTCTTCCGATTGATAGGAGCCACAGTGGCTCAAGAAGTAAAACACTGGCTCGCTAACCAGATGAACTGTTGGCTCCTGTTCTTGACCTAGAATGTTCCTCATGATTTTTCAGGGTGGTTTCCCCTTGTCAGTGGTACAGGTCAGAGAGCCTGAAGAGGAACAGTGTCTAGTCGTCCCATGTACATGTTGGCGTGCACTTAAAGTAACCCTGAACAGTTGAAATTCTAAATAAGAGTAGGCTGTATGGCGTATGCCGTCTTCATTAGCCCAGCCGGTGCAGAACAGTAGGACATTAGACCCCATTTAATTTCTCCTGATTGATTATTTTCTCGTGTTCTTACAGACAAGGAAGTTTTTACAGTATTATATAATACCTAAGATATATTTAACAGCTGCTCTAGAAGATGGTCAGATGATCACTACATCTCTAGGTACAGATCATCGTCTACAATTTACACTAAGAGACAGACAGGTAGGTACATTATACATTTTTGAATAACATTTTATACAGGAACACTGCACTAGAGGTATTGAAACTTTATGAGGAGGAAAGTCTTCCGAACCAAAGTAAATTTAAATATGTAAAAGCTTGATGGTTAATTTCAAGCAATTTTTTTTTGTGGTCAATTCTGTGGATATAAGTTACAGCTTTATTCACAATTCCACAATTTATTGTTAATGCCACAGCCTTGAAATGTGGGATCTCCTCATTACCTGAAGCAATGCCTGATGGCCAATTAAGCCTGTATATGGGTTTGGATTCCACTCTGTTCCAGAATAATTGCTCTTTAGATCATAGGATCTGTCATAGAGTCAATTAGATGGGTTTGGATACCAAGCTTGTATGTAACAATGCATATGGTTGCTTTCCTAACAGCTTTTCCTCCGAGTCCTCTTGTTTCCTTCCATTGCTGAAGATCATGGCAGGCAAGCAGATTATTGAAATATATATAAATGTACCATATGTTAGTCCCAAAATGACCTAGTTTGTACTGAGTGAAGTTAAATCCCATTTGTATAACTCTCTCCAGGGTTATTTTATCTCTTGCAGGTGTCCACTCAACAACTGTTTAATCGTGAGACCCCAATATTACATTGAAATTGCATACATATTGTTTATAGCCCTGCCTGTCTTCAATTTTTCATAAAAATAATTTCTTTATTTAAGATGTACGTTAATAGTATACGTATTGAGAATGCAAATCAGCTGACACTGGGTGGCGTTATACATGGTCTGTCTGGTATACTACATCCTGTTATAAATAGATGTGATGAAACTTACACGAATCAATCTTTCGTAAGTATACAAAGTTTATTTTTCACTATAAACAGCCTAGTTCATTGATTAAAAACATTTCCCCTTATACTGTAGAACATAATGTCAAGCCACATTATATTCTTGTTCTCAGATAATTCCATGTGTTAATGACAATCATAAATAATACTGGATAATCATTCATACATTCCTATAAACAACACGATGAGATAAATGTCATGGCTTGTATTGTGATGTTTACAAAAAGTCATTTATATAACCAGGCAGTGATCCTTGGAAAAATAAAAACACACAAATAAAAACCTCCCTTCTGCATCCAATTTTTGGAAAGGATTGTCTGAGAACCAGAATATTTTTTTCATTGTGGCCTTATTGTATTGGTAGATTAATTTTAAAAATTACAATCTTTATTTGGCTTAATTGTTTTTTTGTAGCGACATGTTCCTTTTTTATGTCAAAATTTACACCAAATAGTCATAGAATTTTTATATGCCCACATTTTTATGTGGACGTATTATGCCGTCGCCCCTGTCCGTCCACAATTTGTTCGTGGACACTCTACAGGTCACAATTTTTATCCGATGTTTTCCATACTTGATCTTCTGTATAAGGTTTGAAGGAACAAAGAGACGACCTGGGTGTGTGTTGTGATGTATATATATGTAGTATCATTTCGTACTGATTTGATCAATTCATCTCAGATTTTATCAATCTTCCCTTTGAAAAAAGTTGCAAAATATATAATGGTATAATGGTATAATAAAGTGATATAATCATTTGCTACCAGACAAAATGGCCGCCCCTCATACGCAAATAGTGTAAAAATATGGTATATCAAGGTTGTGAAATACATGTTTATAACCCAAAGATCTTGGTTCCTTTTGATATTAGCACATATGGGATCGTAACTTCCTGAATTACGGCCTCTGATTCTACTAAGTCACGTTTTTAGCTTGTGGTCAGAATTATTATCCAATTTAAAAATCCATTTGAATTATCACCATTACACATCAATAAAGGTTGAGTTCGAATTTCATAAAGATCTGACTGAAACTGATGGACAAAATGGACGCTTCTTGTATGCAAATAGTGTAAAAGTATATAATACCAAGGTTGTGGACACTCTAGAAGTCACAATTTTTATCCAATTTGATGAAACTTGAAATGTATGTTTATAATTGAAAGATCTTAGTTGTTTTTGATATTTGTGCATATCGGACCGTAACTTCCTGGATTATAGCCCTTGATTTAGTTTGTTGACCCTCTATAGGTCACAATTTTTATGCGATTTTAAAAAAACGTTTTATTCTATCAGCGTTACACCCTAATGAAGGTTGAGTTCGAATTTCGTGAAAATCAGACCGAAACTGCTTGACAAAATGGCTGCTCCATTTGTGTACAAGTATGTAATATGAAAGTTGTGGACCCTCTAGAGATCACATTTTTTGTCCGATTTCGATGAAACTTAAAATAGATCTTTATGTCCCAAAGATCTCAGTCCCTTTCGATATATTCTCACATTTCAGACCCTAACTTCTTGGATTATGGCCCCTGATTGTACGAAAAATCGTGTTTTTATTTTAGCTTGTTCTCTATCCAATTCTTTCCAGAACACTAGATTCCATTCACAGTTTCTTGGGGTGTAGGGGGGGATGCATTTGTGGGGCTTTAGCCAAGAAGAACTTTGGGTGTCCTGGTCAGTTGTACTGCCAAGGAAAATGTGCTTAAGTCAAAAAAAAAAATGAGACCTTTTTGTGATGCATAAATCATTGCATGTTTTTCTCTTCAGGGTCCATGTGTGCCATGTCAACAGCAAGCTTATCCATGTCCTCAGAATTTTAAACCACGAGTACCACCAGTTATTATCAGGAACATTTGTACAGTTACCCAGTCTACACCAGATGGTAAACACATGAATACGTTAGGATGTCATAGTCTCTGTTATTATCAACAGGTTGTAAGTATATAACTGTCATCTTCAATATTTACTATAAAATTTGTAATTAAAAACATTAATTAAAATTCAATATTGGTCCATTTCAATCAATATTGATGTAGTTATCTGCCGTGAAACTATAGGATCCTAATATCCAATATTTAAGACATAATGAACATTTTAAAATCAGTACACGAGTTGTGTATTCTATGGTTTCAGGCCCCGTTTGTAAAGATCAAATAAAAACATATCCTACAAAACAATGCGAAAGTAATTAGTGATGGCCGATTCACAAACAACAAAATTTAGTTTGGACTGTTCACAAGACAATGCACAAGTAATTAGTAATGGCCGATTCACAAACCATAAAATAATGATAAAAAAAACATATAGAATGGACTAAAGCAGGCATAAATGACTGCTGTTCAATTTGGACTGTCCACGTATGTGAAGATATTATTAGTAGCAAATGCAACTATAATATGTCACTGCATGTTATTAAACAGAAAGTTGGAGAAACTCGCTCGAAGCGAGCTCCTCGACTCCAAGCAAATCATTGTGCGACTTGAATTTACTACTATTTTATGTATGGTACATAGCTATTGTTGAGAATGGCCCTTGTATGAAAATGAAAACTATAAAGATTTGAGCCATAAACTATATAGGTCTGCGTCTGCACTTAATGTCAAAATTTATTTTCATGGATTGATATTCACCCTTGTTGTATTTTATCATAGAATAATTATTTTAGGTTTTTATTTTACGTAAGTTCAGCATGCAAACAAACAATTAAAATAGACTACATCTGAATGAAATGAAATGTGGTTTAACGTCCTACTTTTCTGCACTGACTGGGCTGATGAAGACAGGCCAATTTGTACACAGGACCTTGGATTTCTGTACCATCCAAACGACTAGACAGCTGTCCTTGTCAGGTCTATCATCTTATACCACTGACAAGGGAAAACCATGCCGTAAAATCTCAAGGAACTTTCTCAGCCAACACAGGGAGCGAACCCGAGACCTCTAGTCTAGTGAGTCACTGAGCCACCATGGCTCCACATGTGAATCAAAAGATTGAACTGATTATTATAATTTTTTTGTTTCAGATATTACAGTGTTGTAGTGGATATTATGGAGAAAATTGTTTGGGTAACAATAACAAAATCCTTAATTTATTTAGCATTTAATAAGAATTTCTAAAACAGTTTTAGAGAGGCACTATCATTTTCTGCAGAAAAATAAATCAAATTTATTTTGAATAATATTCAGTGTGACCTTAGACTTGCCTAATCTTAGAAAACATTGATTGATTTTATCTTCTTTAAAAGGTACAGGTTGTTGTTATTATGTAAGTAAACACAGCTGAGTATAAAAACCTTCATAAAGAATGGGCTGGTTTATATGAAAAACTAAGCAAAATTATTATTACTTTATATATCAGACACATCCAAATGGCAGTGTGAAATCAATAGAAAGCAATCTATACTTTAAATGACCATTAGAATTGATCAATCAGAATAATGTTTGGATCAAAATGTTTTAATGAAAATACTTTTGATTGTGAATGATCTTAAACTAAATACATGTATTTAACCTTTATTTTGGCATGTTGGGATTTTAATTATTTTATAGAATGCCCCGGTGGTCCCGAGACACCATGTAGTGGACATGGTCTTTGCCGAGATGGTATTAATGGAACTGGTGATTGTTTATGTGATGAGAGATTCCATGGTTTTCGATGTAATGAATGTGAAGAAGGTTTAACAGGACCATCATGTAATATTAGTAAGTCCTCTGTAATTAAGCACTGCATTCTCTTTATATATAAAATAGAACAAATGAAATGAAATGAGGTTAAACATCCTACTGTTCTACTCCGACTAGGCTAATCAAGACAGGCATATGCCATACAGTGTGCTATGAGGGAAATTTTGCCCTAAGGCCTACTTTTATATCAAATTCAAACTGCCAAGGGATCTTTTACGTGCATGCCAATGTGTACACTGGGCTTGGTTTTTCATTCCATCCTAACGTCCTGCACCACTGACTATGGAAACTACGCCGAAAAAATCGCGATGAACTTTCTTGGCCAACACCATGGGCGAACCCGCAACATCCAGACTAGCAGTGTCTTACCCACCTAGCCACTATGGCTCCCCCTTTATACATAAAATAGAAATAAAATGGGGTTTGATGTCAGTCAGATAATGAAGACATGCATTAGGGCTGCAACGATATACTTTGAGATGGTATGCTGCTGTTTACATGCCACGGTTCAGTTCACGGTACTTTAAATTCTGTACCGTGGTTCGATAAACAGTCCGTTTTCTTCTGATATTCAACTATCATGCAGAGTTATGTCTCCCCCTTAGTTCACATGAAAAAGAGGAAAGATGGCTTCCGGCAATGAATCGTTTGCCTCCAGAAAACCACAAATCACAGATATGGGAACATTTTGGATTAAAAAAGCTGTGGATAATAATGTGACATGTCGCATTAAATATCATTTAGATAGAAAAAGTACTGTGATACGTATCGTATTGTGAGGTCCATACCGTGATACATATCATATTGTGAGATTAGCGTAGTGTGGCAGCCCTAATGTGCATACACCATGCCATATGCTAAGAGGGACATTTTTATACGCCCCCATTTCAGTGAGGTCTGTCAACAATTGGCTTGTCATTGTGATAGAGGCTACAGTTTTTGACATATTCTGGTGTGAAGCATTGTGGCCATAAGAGGACGAACCCTATCGACTTTCAGCATTCTACAACTTTATGTTCTGGAGTTACCCCCTCTTTGCCAAAACGTTTGTGGACGTGACATAAGCTACAGTTTGTAACAAATTTGATGTGAAGCATTTTTGTCATGAGAGGACAAACCATATCGATATTCAGCATTCTACGACTTTCCGTTGTCAAAAACCTTGGGGTCACGACAGTATGATTCATATTGTTTTTTAGTGTTACAAGACTTTTCGTTCCCAGAGTTATCCCCCTTTCCAAAATGTGAACACGAAAGACGCTGTAGTTTTTATTGGATGATTTTCAAATTTAGTGGCAAGGCTTGAACCCATAGAGACAAACTTTTTACTCCACTGTGACAATATGGTAATGATGGTAGCCCATTTTTTAAAACCAATATGTATGTTTTATATTTGTATATTTTCTAGCTATTAATAGTTGTGATTATTTAAATGGTAACTGTAGTCAGCATGCCACATGTCAGAAGGTCGATGGGCATGTAACCTGTCTTTGTAAGCCAGGGTTTGTGGGAAATGGTCACGTCTGCCAATCCCCATGTGATGTTCATAAAAATATCTGCGATAGCCACGCCGACTGTCATTATGATGTAAGTATACATAGAACATTTCTGCATCTTATAATCTGCAACACATATATAAACAAGCTGTATTTTTCATTGAAATATATAGGCAAACTCATTTGATTCCTATACAGGGGGGGTGATCACGGTGGCTAAGTGGGTAAGGCGCTGGCTCGCTAGCCTGGAGGTCGGGTGTTCGATCCCTGCATTGGCCGAGAAAGTTCATCCAGATTTTCCGGCGTGGTTTCCCCTTGTCAGTGATGCAGGACGGAGGGCCTGACAAGGACAGCTGTCTAGTCATTCGGATGAGACGAAAAACCGAGGTCCCGTGTACACATTGGCGTGCACGTAAAAGATCCCTTGACAGTTGGAATTCGATATAAGAGTAGGCCGTAGTGCCGCTGTCCGGGCAAAATTTCCCTCATAGCACACTGTATGGCGTATGCCCGTCTTCATTAGCCCAGTTCGGAGCAAAACAGCGGGACGTTAAACCCCATTTCATTTCATTTCCTATACAGGGGAAATGTGGTATTTGTACCAAAATACTGAGTTATATCGCTTTATATTTTTAAAATTAATCTAAAGAGCCACAAACTTTTAGTTGCAGGTAACAAAACAATCAATAAAAGTTTGCCTGTTTATCATAACTATATTGTTAGATACAAAATGGCAGATTGGTGAGAAAAACAAAATATCTGAACATGTCTTTTATGGTAAAACTAACTACTCTCCATAAATGTATAGGAAAATTTGATGCTTGGCAGCAATGTTTGGAGTATAAAGTAAATAATTAATGTCCTGATTTTGTCTTCAAACAATCTGATTAAAACACAGATCCTATTTCGTTTCCTTTTATAGTTCAAAATTTCGTTTTACTTGTCTTGACTACACTAGGATCTGGAAGAGTTGTTATATAACCTGCGTGCTGGTTGATGTGAGAAATTAGCAAATGTAACGGTCTGTTACGGCAAGTTCTTGGCAAGCAGTGCACGGAACTGTAGGTATACCACTAGAAACATCAACGCTGATTGATTAATCAAATTTCTTACGTCATAGTTCAAAAGCCGCGCGTATGACCCCTGACACAACCTTCCACTACAACCAGTCAGATCTTCATGTAATGCAGGCCATCGATTATATTTTAAAAAACGAAACGCAATATAGATCTGTATTTTAATCAGATTGTGTCTTCAAAGTAAATCATTTCCATTCATAATCCAGATCATTTTATCATGTTCAAACAAAATAAATGTTCTCCTTATTGTTGAATTTGGAACCACAGTGGTTTAGTAAGTTTGGTGCTTACTCACTAACCTGGATACCTTAAACTAACCTGTGTTGGCCTGTCTGTGGTGCAAAGTTTTCAGAAATTGTTCATTGGAGTTATCCCCTTATCCACCTTTGATAGTTGTGAATGCAAATAATAAGGACAGGGTTATTAATGAAATTTTTTTAAAACTTAGTATGATTGTTTATTAGGGTATAAGAAAAAATTAAAAAATTATAGAATTATATACAGAGATACAAATTAATACCATGAAAACAAAATTGTAGGAGAATATAATTAAAGCTTGCTTATACATATAATAAGGCCTATTACAACGATCTAATATTATTAGTAATAATAATAATAAAAACTTAAAAAGATTAACAAAGTTATCCAATGTCAGTCTGTTAGTGATGTCCACCATTTGTTTAAAACCACAATATGTCTTCAGATGTCACAGAAACTGTTCTTGATTTGTATTTTGGCTGCAACTGTATCTGAGATGTCAGTTTTGACATCAGTTTCTGGTTGTCAGCATGGATGAAACGTTTTAATCTGAACATAGCTCGAATATAACCATTACTCCCATAAGGTAAACAATCCTGTCCTAGTTTGATAAGTATCAGCTTTCCGTTCCCGTTCCGTATCTTTTGATGATATGCAGCCTCCAAATTAAATATGTTCAAAGGATTAGCAAAAAATGATGACGAAACAACAGCCAGAACTGTTGAACTATTGTTCATGTTTGTAATAATAGCATCTGATGTTACTTCTCCAATAACACCATCGCGATATGGAATATAAGATTTCATTGTGTTCTCTTCGAAATAACGAATCAGATGATTTCTAACCCATAGCCTGTCCGAATCATTGGTTTCATTCAAGAGCACACATATGTCATATGTTTCACTTTCATTTTTGATTGTTCTAGTTCTTCTAAGTCTCGATTTGATGTAAATATAATACAATGTGAGAAGTTCATATCGAAAGTAGATAAAACAGATGATTGAGACAATTAATAAAATACCAAATATTCCAAGCACTATGCTGATCAGTGTTGAGTTTATGACTTCACAATCATGTTCTCCTTTCTGAAAATCTTGAATTTTGATTTTATCCTGGTTGCCTGATACAGAACAAGTCAGCAAAGATCTATATTTTATATTTGGTTTGGACCTAAACCATTCACCTAACCATAAGTTGGAACAATTACAAACCAAACTGTTGTTTGAAATATCGATGTTGGTGCTCCTTAATTTCTGAATGCTTTTCGGTAGACATTCCAGATTATTGTTGGACATATTAAGATATTCCAATCTGCTGCCTTTGTTGAATACTGAAGAAGATATCGTATGTAGAGTGTTATTGGAGATGTCAAAGTAAGATGTCCTTTCCATATAAGGAAGATTAGGTATATCTTGTATAAAGTTATTTTGGAAATAAAGATACAAGTTTTTATGGAAAGGCAACTCTGTGGGCATGGCTGATAATCCAGTTTTTCGACAGTCAATGATCATTCTATGGTTGTCTGGTTGTTTCTGACAAAAACATTTAGACGGACAAGAGTCTGTGATATTACATACAAACTCAGACAGATCAATGTCAAATATTATCTGACCATTAAGATGAGGTGGACTCTGACAGGCAACATTCAGATAATCCCTCGGAAATCTTTTATTGAAGTTGTCAAAATAATATAAAAAGGAGTAAAACTGACAATCACAATGCCATGGGTTGTTCCGAAAATCAAAACCCCAAGTTATAAAATGAACAAGAAATTGATGTAGGGAAGATGCTAAATCTGCTAACACTTGCCTGTCTAAAATCCTGAGCTTATTATTCCGGAAATCTGACATGCCAGGTCCATAATTAGTAGACCATTTCAGTCTTAGATTATTTTTGTTTGTTATTTTTGATATTTGGTTATGGCTTACATCAAACAAACAGAATCTATGAGTAATGTTTAGAACCCAGACATCAGATTCCGTCAGGTTATTGTGATCCAGCATAACATACTTGATACTGTGTAAACCTGTATGCAAGACTCCAAGCTCTATTGTCTTAATGAAATTGTTGGATAATAATATTTTTTGTAATTTATCCAAAGAATGAAATATTCCACTTTTTAACACTGTAATCATGTTATGTGTCAAGTCTAGATTTACCAACTCTTTTAAACAAGATAATTTCGGCACATGTTTTATATTGTTGTAGGACATGTCTAATGATTGAATCATTGGAAAATCACAAATATTTGCAGGTACTGCAGACAAACAACTATTTTTATGTTGAATATAAAAGTTAAAATTTTTCTCTGACGTACTTGGTGATTTTATAAGTCCAGATGAAGATATAGAACAGGCTTCATCAACGATAAGTTGTTTTAAGGATTCAAAGTCAAAATAACAGCAACTTTCGCATTTGTCATAACATCGGCAATTTTCTTTACTAACAACGAAACTTCCATAGTCCTGTTTCACCATTACACCTAATACAAGAAGTAAAATGCTGGTTAATATCTTTCCACCCATCTTTATTTCTTCTAACAGCTCTCTTAATGTAGTAAAACTTCCTTCAAAAAACAATAAATAAAATAGATTATTTAAGTTTCTACAATATTTTCAGGCCGAGTGTTCATGTATTAACTGACATCTGACAAAATGTCTAATATGGTATCAAATAAATGACATCACATTGATTGAAACACTTGCACATAGATTCACACCCTTGAATAAGATTAAGATCAAATAAATGATTGCACATAGATTCACATGCTTGAAGTACATTAAGTCAACAAGTGACAATGTATATGGTAACAATTTTTAAAGGGACTGTACAACTTTATTTGGATGAAAAATAAAAGTATCAGTATGATTCAATTTGATAAAATTTAATATGCTCATATGATTTATGAGGTAAATATTTTGCTACATTTAAATTTTGGGCTTTTAGCTAGACTTATAATTAAGCCATACCATACAGATATTTTTTCACTCTAGACAAAATTAACAATAGAACTATTATAGTCGGCTGTATAGTCTACCTTCAAATAGACAGTTGACTCATCTTGCATATTCAGTGTTGAAAGGAATAACCTACCATCAGATGGTCTAATATTTTAGTTGTGATACTAAATACAAAATCATCAATTGGAAAACATATTCAAACTATCAATGGTTGTGGTTGTTGAGCAGTCAGGGCGCCAGACTCTAAACTAGAATGTCGAATCCTGGCATGGACTGAGAAGAACCTTCTGGATTTCAAGGGTGACCTGCACTTGTCGGATCACAAGGAAAGTGTGCCTAGCTGTTCGGATGTGACAAAAAAAGGTCCACTCTTGTATACAATATTCTCCTAATCTTTATATGTAACCCTAGTAGGAGAAAAATTCTCAAAATGACCACAGTCTTGTTTACGAGACATTTAATCCTATTGTCTTTGTAATTTTCTGGTCATTAAAAATATCATATTTTCAAATCTAAAAAAAAAATTTTTTCAAGTTGTAATATGCTCGAAGGATGAATCATATCTTTAAAATTTGAAAACATTTATCCCTAAGGTTTTTTTCAAGTTGAAATATGCTCGAAGGATGAATCATATCTTTAAAATTTGAAAACATTTATCCCTAAGGTTTTTTTTTTTTATAACTTCCCTGTTACGATACACATCCATCTGTAAATTTAAATAAGCACCTCCTATATACTAAATATACATGTAGTTTTTGATGCATTACTTCCCAGTTCTACAGATACCGTATTTGAAATAGTAATTAACAATGATGAATTTAATTTATTGTTCATGCTTCTGAAAAGTGGACATATTAGATGATTTTGATATACTAACATAGCATTCAAATTAAGGTTAGAATTTGTTTTAAAAAGGACTCTCAGTTGGAAAATTGCTGTGCTCAAGTGATTATTATGTCAAATACGGTAATTTAGTATGCATTGAAAACTAAACAGTATGAGGGGTTGGTAATATAATATAATATACAGACCAAACAATACATTCAGTGGTAATAAATAGAATATTGTGTAGCTTATTCTTTACAACATTGTATAGTGTAATAAGCAAACCATGAACAGTTATTTTAACAAAGAGATTTTTGGCAACGTAATCGTCACTTGTGTCATCACCCAATGCAAAGGATCAAAGTCTGTCTATATATTAAACCTTATATACATATAGAGTTTATAGACCACACTATACATTCAATGGTATCAAAAGAAAAATTGTTGTCTAGCTTATTCTTTACAGTCTTTTCTGTCCTGTTTTTCACCAGTTGTTTACATTTTACTACCCACATTTTCACCCCCACCCCCACCCCATTGCCCTACATTTAATGTGGATGTATTATGATTTCATAACCTATGACCGTCACATTTTTACAGTCAAGAGATTTTGATGAGTTAAATTTTTAGAAAATGTTCATTGGCCATGGTGCAGATTGCACCAGTAGCACCTAGTTTATGTTCAAACTTAATGATAGCTTGTAAACTTTGATTGTTCATATTAGGGTATAATGAAGAACATTGGCGAATTTTCAGGTTGTTAAATTTCAGATTTTGTTGAGTTAACTTTCCGTTTACACGTTTTCAGTGGAATTTAGTAGGACTTGAAAGATAGTCTGAATTCTTTTAGCGCACAAAGCAGAATGCAATTGATATTCAGTACTTATTAATCACAGATCATTGAGTTATATCATTGACTACATTCAGATTGAAGAAATATTATGAATGAGATATACAGGACAGAGTTCTCAAGTAATTGATCAAACTCGTTAAGATTGTTTATGGGATTACAAGGAAGCACGTCTGTTGATGTTCAGAATTCTTGGAACATTTTTTTAATAACCAATAACTTCACTTAATTAACCAACCTGGTGCTGGTCATTTTATCATCATATCCATTGTTGACATCTTTTATTATTGTTATTTCAGACAACAAATCATTTATTGAGATGTGAATGTTTTGAGGGTTACCATGGTAATGGAACATGGTGTGAAGAAATTGTAAATCAATGTGTCATGAAGAATGGAGGATGTTCTCGTTATGCTCAGTGTATATTTGAACCACCTGCTAGTAAGTGCTGAAGTTGAATTAAATTCAAATTCAGAAGAAGCATCTGAGTATCAGTATCTGGTCTGTTGTCCATTTAGTTGAAGGTCTTGTCTTTATTTTATAGCTGAATGATTCATTTAGAATCTTCATCTGATCTGATTTTGATGAAACCTAAAACATGTGTTTATGTCCCAAAGATCTCGGTTCCTGTTGATATTCGTGCATATCGGACTGTAAATTCCTGGATTATGGCCCCTGATTGTATAAAAAAAATTGTACAAATTTTTTTGTTTTTGAATATTGGTACCTAGTCGCGTGGGTAGGATTAGAATCGGATTCTGTCAGTCCACCTGCCCAGGCCTTGTTCCGTTGAGGCTCTCGTCACTGTCAGAGTATCCGGGCCCTCTTCCGTTTGAATCCAGTTCAACATGATTTTAGGTATTGGAAAACATAAATGATATTTTGCCGTCTGATAGTCATGGTTTTTGTTTTTTGATTTGTTTGATTGCTTAAGATATCCTGTCAAAATTGTGCCCATCCGATTGTTATTACATCAGTAAAACTAAAACGTAGTATATGTATTTGGTATGTTGTGTTAAATCTCAGTTTCAGTGTTTTACCAAAGTGACCTCCATGAGTTACCCCAGATATACATCAAAATGAGGCTAGAGACTACATATCTGTCAAAAACTTTCAAACCCAGGTGGAGTTGCTTGTCGCAGGGTCCATAGGGCCCTGTCGCGGACCCTGTTTATACAATGGACTCTGTCACTTCCGACATCTAAATACTACGGCATTCTGTGAAATCCGGCATCATTTTCATGTCCCGATTTATTTCCTTATTACTTCAACCAAAAACGTTTTGAGTAATCCGGATTCTGAATATTCCGAATTACGACATCAATCAGCTGTCCCATGACACGATTTGTGTTCAATTAATATTGGATGATCCGGCCTTCAATAAGTGGGTGTTAATTGACAAGCAATCACCAATCGATTATGTGTGCATAAAAAACATGTCGGTCTTTTTTGATTACCTTGATAATTTTATAATCTCTTGTAAGAAACAACTTGGTATTTGATTTGAGTTTCTCACTCAAATTCAGCGACATTATATAGAAATTGCCAAGATGAAGAATCATTATCAATCATATTATAATAATATTGTGTTCATAATGTGTGATCGTCCTGCAAAGCGTGCAAATTATAGCAGATTTTGAGAAAGTTCCGCGACCTACACAGAAGGAATTAACCTTTAAGTATTCAATTGGCCGTACTACAGTATCCGACATTTTAAAGCAAAAAAGATGAATTCAAACAGAAGTTTGCCAATAACTTTAACAGCAGTAAGAAACGATTTTACTCACAAGTGGTTTAAGGGCGTGGACAAAAACAACCTGTCAGTCAATTGGTCAGCCAATCGTAAGGCTTGGTTGACAAGTGCTATTTATTCGTGTTATATACCCGAATTGTTATGTACATGTATTGTACATGTTTATTGTGTCTTGTTATGCAATTGTTTGATATAATGTAATAAATTTTGAATGTACAGAAAGCGTTATCATATTTTAAGTTCTGGGTATTCGTGGTTGCATTATAATAATACATCTGGTATTCGAAGTTTCAATAATACTTCTGGTATTGTGACGATTGAGTATTCCGTCATGCTGTATAATCCGGCATATTGTATTTATCCCGTATGATGTTGGAATTGACAGAGTTCACTGTAATATGGTTTTGCAAAAAAAAAATTCAATCCAATGCACATCTGAGCCCAATCAGTTGCATTCACACAAAATTACGTCCCTAAAAGTTGATAAAAGCAAATAAATGAGGCCTGAAATATGTAGATATCTGAAGAGCTTAATAAAATAAGCAAAAATGCTAGTAATCGATAACTAATATAGTTGTTTTTTCAAAAACTTTTATATTTTTACGTATTTAATACCTAAGAGATGTTATCTTTAACTTTTCATACATATTTACATACATATATACGTATGATTACTTTCAGTCATATATTAATTTGAGTTTTTTTTAAAACATATTTTTATAGCCACTAGTTTAAGCCATGGATCTGTAAATTGTGAATGTTTAACTGGTTATGTTGGAGATGGTATTCTGTGTACTACAGATGTTCTTAATGCTTTATCTCAACTATCACAAGCTTCAAACTTCTATCAGGTACTGTATGAAAGGTTTATCTCAAGCTTCAAACTTCTATCAGGTTCTGTATTAAAGGTTTATCTCAACTATCACAAGCTTCACACTTCTATCAGGTTCTGTATTAAAGGTTTATCTCAACTATCACAAGCCTCGCACTTCTATCAGGTACTGTATTAAAGGTTTATCACAACTATCACCAGCTTCACACTTCTATCAGGTACTGTATTAAAGGTGTAGACCAGAAAAATTAGTCTGTAATTTAGATCCTTGATTTTCGTGACAGTGCAGATTAAGCCTAGATAAACGGCTTAGATTGTTTAGTTTTTTTAATTGTGTAATTTTCCATTTGCAACAACAATATTATAGCTGCGTAGTACAGTGATCGACTTTTGTGACTCCATTAAAATGAAATCGTTTGTTGCTGTATAATGAACATTGTTGTAATAAATTTATGTACCACTAAAAAGTAATGTATTGCACCGTAGCCCTAAATGGATGAAGGTTTAAAAAATGTAACAATAATGGTCCAATAGCCTCCAGTTTTATGAATAACAAGATACACCTAAAGGAGATGTTTATAATATCTGTATCTAAAATATGGTTGAGTTATGTGGAATTATGCTGAAACATCCTTGAATGTATTGATAAAGGTTGATAAAAAACTCCTCATACATGTCTTATATTTAATAGGTTTTATATATGTCGAATCAAAAACTGATATTGTAATTATTTATTTCAGGGTGTAACCTCTTTAAATAGTAGGAATATAACAGACCTACTATCAGACAGAGAAGGCAGGATAACTCTATTTGTACCTGTAGATAATGAACGCACAAAACAGGTACAATTCATTTGTTTATACCATGGATAAAGTGATTGGTTGTCATATACATGTGACATTATCAGATCTGCTGTGTCAACATTAAAATAAACAACTAGTGTAACACTGAACATAAGTATATTTGATATTTATTTGATATTTACAGGTAATATTTACCAGTAATATTATATATTTGCAGGTATACAGTGAGGAGGATGTAAAGAAATATATAATTGATGCATATGTTTATATAAATATAACTTTAATATTTACCAACAATAGTTACGTACATTGTTTATCTGGTGAAATAAAACAAATAACCTACAAGAATAAACAGGTAAATACAATACATGTAGGCTACCAGTAACAAGGGTGGGTTGAGAAGGAGGGGGGGGGGCGAGTGGTAGGGTTACCTGCTTAACCTTGTGGGTTTACTCCAGGTCCTCTCTGCTAAAGACCCCTACGTGTAGCAAATCATTGTAATAAGATTTTATCATATGTCAGTCCCAAAAATGACATAGTTTGTGTCCAGTAGATGTTAAATTCCGTTTCTCTCTCTCTATGTACCAGTAACATAAAATATATATTTGGGGAACGTCACCACTTGAATCTTAAAACATGATTGTAGACAATCCAGACAATATGGTTGGTTAATTTGTGTTCTACTGTCATATCTGGTCTGAACAAAATAAATTGTTTACAGAATTTAAGGTTGTCTTTTTCTTGAGGGGGGGGGGGGCTGAATCAGTGAATTGTTAACACGTGCGCATTTGATCAGGTTTGTCATTATTGAGTTAAGTGGCGTGGTTTCGATTCCCTGCTTGTACTCAACAAGGAGTAGGGTCGCATGTCCAACCTTATGAGTTTTCTACAGGTTCACCGTTTTTTATTGAAATAAAATTGAACCATGTTAGTCCCAAAATAACCTAGTTTGTGTCAAGTAGACTTAAACCCCACTTCTCTCTCCCTCTCTCTCTCTCTTGAAAATTCTTACAGACCATTTTTCCTGGCAGTCATATCTTGGAATTTGACAAGCCAGCCTATTATTATCTAATATCTAGTGTCAGGAATTTCATTGTTTGCTGTGCAATGACAGTGGTAAACTAGCCCAATTTATATTTTATTTCTGTTTCGTTTTTATTGTGTTCCAACATTTTAGTTAAACTAATGCTAGGAATAGAGCAACATGAGAGAGGGGGTGGAAATGGCATATGGCTCATCAAAATATTACACTGATTTGATGACAATGATGAGTTCTTGACAGCCCTTGTACTTGGTAGTAGTCCTTCAGTGCAAGGGAGAGCACAACTTCTGCAACTCCACCACAAGAAAACATTCTTCCCTTCCTCTTTCACTTCCTTTCTTTGTGTTTTTGAGTATCGGTAGTTAGTTCTGTACATGTAGTACATGAATTACCGTAGTTTGGTATTATTCTTATTTGCTTTATTAACTAAAATTTAAAAGTTTTATTTTTTGTTGTTATAGTTTTATGTAAATGGTATACATATATTGCGGATGAATATTCCTACATTAAATGGTCTAATTCATTTAATAGAATCACCTCTCTTATCAACACCGGTATGTACAACATTAGAATCCATCCAGTTGCTAAATTCCACTGTAATATATTAAACAGTATTATATAAATTAGTCAGATTTTACAGAACAGAATAGCATGAAAATAGAACTGACTTCTTCTCCTATACAACAATAAACACATAACTACATGTACATCCCTTTTTAAACTTTGACGTTCTCATATTATACCTTACATTGTTTTGGGGAAATTATTACTTATTAAGTTAATTTAGCACAAAAAATGATTATTTTTCTGTGGAGAATATAGTAGCATTATTTTAGGATTTATTAATGCCTTTTTTATGTAAGCAAAGTTCATGTTTTTATCTAGTAATGAATTGGAATAGTTTAAAATCATTCTAAAATCACTTCAGTCTGGTGCATTACTAGATGTGTGGTCAATACTACCATTATCAGAAAGTCTCTTAGTTTATTCGTACAATATTATTTAAATTCCCATATTATAAGTTGAAAAAGATTTGAAAAATACATTGAGATCCTCTGAAATAATGGTTGTTTATTTATCTTGCAGACAAAAGTTGATAAATCTGCGAGAAGTTCTTCTAATGTGAGTACCCTGGTTGTATTTCTATAATCATAAATATTCCAGTATTACTCTAATAAATTTCAATCCAGTTCAGTCAAACAGTAATAACATGCATGAATGTAAAAATTTCGTTTTTTACTCCCAACATTTAAGAACAAAGAACCCCATTGAGTTAATGCAAATTTCTTTTTTATAAATTTCAAATATTGCAATGTTTCTGGCACATTTTGTGATTCTACGCTTGTGAACTTGTTCTTGACTGACATGTTTTTGTTTTATTATTTCAGATATCTGTTATTGTAGGACCAATAATAGCTATATTAATTGTTGTGATTATTATAGTAGTAATCGTTGTAGTGTTATATTATAAACGAGCTAGATCCACAGGATTTCTGGATTTTATGAAACGTTTTAGAAAGGTAGCTATATATTGTATAATCTATTTCACAGTTATCATAATGAACACATATTTATCTAGCATTTAAATTTAATTTAAAAGATTTATGATGAACCACTGTTCCATAATAAAGAAATGAAATGAAATGGGGTTTAATGTCCTACTGTTCTGCTCCGACTGGGCTAATGAAGATGGGCATACGCCATACAGTATGCTATGATCGAAATTTCACCTGGACAGCGACGCTACAGCCTACTCTTATATCGTAACCCAAATGTCAAGGGATCTTTTACATGCACACCAATAGGTACACAGAATCTGAGTTTTACATACCATCCAAACAACTAGACAGCTGTCCTTGTAGGGGGGCCCTCCATTATGCACCACTGACAAGGGTGGAAACCACGCCTGATAATAAAGAAAGTAAATCACGATATCTTACCGTAGAAGTTGAATATTTTTGTTAAATCAATACATTATGGAGTTTATTAAATATTTGTTTCTGTTTAGGGTTCTGATGACAGTTTTGCTCATCTCCAAGGTAGCAGTGAAGAAGATCAAGAATCAGATCTACTACAGCAACCAGGAAATATTAATTATAATAATCCTATATATCAAGCATCACAAGATGATGATGATGATGGTGTAGAACAATATGATAATTAATTGTCAAAATAATAGTATTTATAATGAAAGCCACCTTTAAATTTTAATCTAAATTAATCAAATAAGAATGCGGAGGGTTTTTTTTATGATTTTGACGTGAATGATTTACTGTAGTGTTGGTTTTTATGTCTTTATGATCTTGTCAGACTCTCAATTCTTTAGGGATCTTTTAATGAGTGCAGTCTTGTAAAAAGCTTTAATTGTAAATATCCATTCATAACTATTTCACTGCAATTAAGAATCCATGTAGAAACTGGGTACATATATTCATTGTAGGTTTGAGGGAAATTCGGGATTATTTTTCTATAATGCCACAGCAGTGAGTAAACAGGACCATAGTATGATAAAGCATATATAAATTGCCTTCAACTGTTTCCAACATTGGATGTTGCAGATTCCATTGTCATGATTCTTCTCTCCTCAGTTTTGTTATCAGAATTGGGATAAGAAAAGATGAGATTTTATTTAATGGAAACATCCATTGAGGACAGCATACAATATAAACATATGTACATGTCATAATAAGTGATATTTGAAGAAAAAAAAAGATTTGATATGATTCTGTCAATCAATACAATTTAGGTTTCCCCCATTAATGAGATAGGTGATCTATACTACTGACATCTTGCTTGGTTCCCTCCCTGTAAGACAACTATTTTTCTCAATCATAATCATATTTGGGTTTTTTAATGGTATAAATTTCACATGCTATATATATAGGGAAAGTCCATCACAATTGTATTTCTGAATTATGCTTGTGAAAGATTTCTTGTCTCCATAAAAGGAAAAAAATACATAGTAACTAAAACATTTGTTGTCCCCCGCCTTTCGAAGAAAGCAGGGGACTATTAAAATGGGTTCGTCCGTCTGTCTGTCTGTCCGTCACACTTTTTGGGACACAATAACTCTCTTCCTAATTGAGCTAGAATGTTCAAACTTGGTGTATGTGTTTATTAGGTCAATGCCTTGATGGAGTTCGAAGATGAGCATTTTCCGCTTAGGGTAAGCAGAGATAAGCAATTTGATTGGTTGATGCTTTGGGACACGATAACACTCTTCCTAATTGGGCTAGAATGTTCAAACTTGGTGTATGTGTTGATTAGGTCAATGCCTTGTTCTAATTGGGCTAGAATGTTCAAACTTGGTGTAGGTGTTTATTAGGTCAATGCCTTGATGGAGTTCGAAGATGAGCATTTTCTGCTTAGGGTAAGCAGCGATAAGCAATTTGATTGGTTGATGCTTTGGGACACGATAACTTGAGTTCTAATTAAGTGAGAGTGATGAAACTTGGTGTATAGTTTTATTACATCAATACCTTGACTAAGTTCGATAATAAGCATTTTCTGCTTATGGGTAAGCAGAGCGATAAGCAATTTGATTGGGTGAGACTTTGGAACACATTAACTCTCCTTCTAATTGAGCTAGAATGTTCAAACTTGGTGTAGGTGTTTATTAGGTGAATGCCTTGATAGAGTTCGAAGATGAGCATTTTCTGCTAAGGGTAAGCAGAGATAAGCAATTTGATTGGTCGATGCTTTGGGACACGATAACTTTAGTTCTAATTAAGTGAGAGTGGGGACACTTAGTGTATAGGTTTATCTCATCAATACCTTGAGTAAGTTCCATAAATAAGCATTTTCTGCTTATGGGTAAGCAGAGCGATAAGCAATTTGATTGGTCGAGACTTTGGAACACAACTCTCCTTCTAATTGAGGAAGAATGTTCATACTTGGTGTAGGCATTCATTAGGTGAATGTCTTGATGGAGTTCGATGATAAAGCTTGTCTGCTTACGGTCAGCAGAGATAAGCAATCTGATTGGTTGATAACTTTGGTTTTAATTAAGTGAGAGTGATGAAACTCTGAGTATAGATTCGTTATATCATTACCTTGACTAAGTTTGTTAATGAGAATTTTCTGCTTAGGCTAAGGATCGATAACTTTGATTCTATATGATAGAGAGTGATCAAACTTAGTGTATAGGTGATAATTTGTTTGATTGCTTGATACTTTTGAAAAAAAATAAATGTGCGATTAATGAATATGTGTCATCTATTTATTTTGGGATTTCGGCGGGGGACATCAGCCTCACTGTTGGCTTGTTTTAATTATCTAAAATTAATGAAAAATTATTTTAAGTACAGTATAAAAAAAAAAATTAAAAAAAATGTTTAATGACATTAGCATGCATTTATTTGTAAATAGGTTTATTTATATAATCATTATTATTGTAATAAAATACATCATAAATCTTTTTTTGATAATAAAATACTGTGTGTTTTATCAAATGCAAACATATCACAAATTATAACACACTAACCTCGTACACAACCATGCTATGGATATTTAAGTCATTCTCATTGTATATATATATATACCGGTATATGACACTCAATGAAAACAAACCACTTATTAGTTAAATACAGATTTAAAATAAATTTTAAGTTAACTATAAAATAAACAATAAATTATATTATAAGGTATTGAAATTGTAGAATGATTAAGATATAAACTTGTACAATAAATTAATTACAAGGCAACATAAAGAATGAACAGTAAATTATACATACAACGATATAAAATCAATATGAAATCCTGAATATATTAATACTGTATATCACGTGTTTTAAGTGGATTTATAAAAAAAAGTCCCTGCTATCTTTGATCACAACAATAGACTCATGTATAGACTATAATTGTACATTGTGTAATAAAAGATTGTACATACACTATATGGTTTTAGGTTAATTTATTGTACCATAAAATTATTTCAAATACAAGCGGTCTGTGATGATCAACTAAATGGATTTGATGTTGGTCAACACAGATCACAACCAAATATACCCTGTTTTCAGGAAACCTGCAACATTTTGTAGCTATCTAATAAAAGCTTCATGAACAGTAATTAATCTTAATATTATTTTTTTATATTACATATTCTAGATGGGTATTCATGCATGAAAATAATAAGAATATATCTATAACATAATATATATATTGTTTACTAGTATTGGTCATTGGGTTATTATTTTATAACAATGAAATTGTGTTCAGTTAATATTTGTTAGTATTGTGTGATCAATGGAGATAACTGGAATGGTGACACATCAATCATCACATTTCCCATGCACTTTTTAATTTTTTTTTGCGCAAGAGAGAGAAATGGGATTTAACATCCACTCGACACAAACCAGGTCATTTCAGGACTAACATATGATTCAATTTTATTTCAATAATTCAGTTGAGCATAGGGGTCTGTCTGTACCAGTGTGAGGAAACCGGAATACCCGGGAGGTTGGACAGGTGACCCTACTGCTTGTCATGTACAACTAGGGAATCGAAACCATGCCAGCTGACTCGATGAGTCAACGTGCACATGCTAACCATTCGGCCATCTAACCCCTCAATTTTTCTGCAAAGTAGACTTATTGTAATTAATACAATTGAAATATTATTTCATTTTTCACAATAATGAGGTAGTATGTGGTGGTATTTCATAGAACTGAGTTAGTATTGAGTACATCATGATGATGATATAATAATTATCTACATCCATTAATTCAGATGTCTCCCAATAAAATAAAATCATTTATTAACCAGTCTCATTAAAATTAGATCACTTATTTCATTTTGATTTTAATAGTTCTGATAACTTAATATAAAATACCTATAAACATAATGAAATTATCTAATTTTAATTTGGCCAGATTTACAACTGATCAATCTTAGAAATATTCAAGTCGGAGATTATTGAGTGTTGATATTTTGATTTTGTTTTCTTAATTCCATGTTAAATAAACTGAGTACATATTTAGTTTGGATTAAGCCACAAGACATTTGAAATGTTCGAGAAAATGCAATTGATGCATCAAGCCTTTATAGTTCGACACTGTGTTTATGAGATGGTGACAGACCAGCATCAGTATTTTTAATCAAATGATAATAAAAGTTAATAGCTTGTTGGTAATTTAGTAAGGATATACGTTCGTTATTACCATGAAATCGTGGTAAATCTTCTGGGTACATATATGATGGTGTAAATCTATAGATGTTATTAGAGAGATGGATATAGTGTTTTGTATCTGTATTACCAATCATCACACCTGTTACAATAAACAAAATATAAGTTATACATAAAACAAACATAGGGTTGCCAGGCAATGAATATAACTCATAGGGACAATAACTCTTCTAAAAACCGACAGTTAAATTTGTTATAACAAAATATCTCAAAAAGATTGACCTGTAGTGCTTTGTAGAAGGTTTTACTGACAAGGAGAACAATTCCACATAAAAATCTGAATTTCAATAGGGTTCCTCCTTGCCTTAAGATAAGAGTCTATTGTATCAATATGCCCATTAAGATTTAGAGCAGCATACATATTATAAAAATGGAAATAGCATAAAAACTTGAGACAAGCCAAAGATTACCAGCAAAAACTCCAACCTGTACAGGTTTTATAAACAACAGGGGCAATTAAGTGTGACCTTCAATTTCTTTCTGTAAGGTTCTTAGCTGCATAATCCCAGCAAATTAAACAAAAAACCATTAATTTTCAGTTCCGGGAATTCCCCTTAAAATTATTCCAGTTACATGTATTTGAATTTGCATAAACATTGGTAAAAAAATAATATAAAGTAACAAGCCCATTCAAGTTATATAAATTTATGTAAGTATAAAATACCTGGTGCCACCACTGAATTTGTCCAAACTTGTCTGATACTATTTTTAATCATCTGGTAACCAAGGTTATTATCATCACAGGGCGATATAGGTAGTGGTTCCATGGAATTTTTTATTTCAAATGTAACTCGATCATCATTGATAATATAACGATCATAATCTATAACCTAAATATAGTAATACAAATAACTGTTACAAATGTAACTCGATCATCATTGATAATATAACGATCATAATCTATAACCTAAATATAGTGATACAAATAACTGTTAGATGGGCTATACAATTATAACTCGATCATCATTGATAATACAATAATCATAATATATAACCTAAATATAGTAATACAAATAACTGTTAGATGGGCTATACAATTATAACTCGATCATCATTGATAATATAACAATCATAATCTATAACCTAAATAGTAATTGTCATTAAAATAACAAGATAAAGGGGATGGATTTGGTGCACCGGTTAGAGATTTACATTCGTGACTAAATGATTAAAATGTGTGTTGAGTATTGCATCTTTGAATAAAATAATTCATCCTATATTCCAGTCTACCCAGATGTAATCAGTCTAATAGCCTTTAGTCTTTATACCCAAATAGTCAGTAACAACAACATGCTGTTTTCAATACCTAGTCTTTACATATATCATCTGAATTGTTATTGCTTGTCTATATATAATTGCCCTACACATTTGTTACTGTACTTGCTTGAAAGCGTTAAGAACACTCTTTGAAATGTCACCTAAATAAATCAGTAATTGTTCTTCCATACGTATGTGTTATAGTTTAGTGTATTTTAACTCATTCACATACCTGAACTTTCTGTGGAAGTAAGGGAGCCACAGTGGCTAAGTGATTGGAGGTCACGGGTTCACTCCCGGTGTTGGTCGAGAAAGTTCATCGGAATTTTCCGGCATGGTTTCCCCTTGTCAGTGGTGCAGTTTTTGTTTATTCTTCTGATGCTATGAAAAACTGAGATCCAGTATACACATTGGCTTACACGTAAAAGATCCCTTGGCAGGAATTTGATATAAGAGTAGGCCGTAGCGCCGGTGTCCAGGTAAAATTTCCCTAATGGCGTATGGCCGTCATTTCATTTCTGTGGAAGTAAGCAGTCTGACTGGAGGTGATTGAAGGGGAGAAAACTATTAGATTAATTACCTGTTGTATTGATTGTGCAGGATGAATTCTATGATTAACAATAGCTACAGCATCTTCTGGTATTATATTGTCCTACAAATTATCAATAACAATTATTATAAAAAGATACTTAAAGATATCTACAGAAATTTTAAAAAGGTCATGAACTTGAAATAAAAAAAAATTGAGAAAGTTGAGACCTATTTTTAATAAGGCGAAATTGTTGAAAACTGAAATAAACATCCACCAAACTCCATCTTGTTTATTTTTTTTAATCTTTGTGTTATTGTCAGAGAAATTGCAAATTTCCTAAAAGAGTAGATGAACGCTTTATGATCATAACATTTGATGAATTTGATTACTGAAGATTTAAAAATCTATGTATAGCATTTGTCTAAATTTCCCCGAATGCATATATTGATTCTTCTGTTTAAGCTACATAAGAATTCAATCAAAATTTGGTTAGAAAACTTAATATATCCTTTAAAGCCACCTCCTCTGCAATATCACAATAGGTGGAAGCCACATTCAGCCCCAAGAATCAACACCCTTTAAACCTGCTTATAGTGATTTGAGGGGAGGGACTTTGCATCACTTGCAAACTATAATATTATAAAACTTAATTCCCTAAACGAATCAATCTGAAAAAATATCATTCATTTACAAAGATATGATGAATTGAAAATTTTGCAACATTTGGTATCTGCAGACAATTTATATGCAAGCCAATACAATTAAATCCAACAGGGCACTTATCTATCATTGATATTTTGCTTTCTTACTTAAACATACATTATGCAAGAGCTAAATCATTCTATTGCAGGTCTTTCTTTCTTTCTTTAGGCTTTAAATGTTATCTTAATTATTAATTAGACATTAATTAACTTATCCAGACCATAATCAACCCTCGATACCATAGTTAGCTTGCGCTATTTAGTGGATTGAATTCATTTTGTGATGGATAATTTAATGTAAGAATGGATAATCGAGACTTTGTTTATTTTTGTACCACTGTTAGCAATAGCGAGTGAGGATAGCCCATGGCTCGAAATGTTCGCCTGTCTACTTGTCGCTGACAGGCGATTTTTTCGTCTGACAGGTAGCAAATAAAACTACCTGTCGCTTGCGACAGGTGGACTAAATTTTACTTGATGTTCAGTAAATTGACCACAATACTCACGTCCACGTCACGTACATTTAATTATTCGTTTCTAAATGCAAGAATTAAGCACAGAAATACCGCGAAAAGCCGCCATTTGCACTGTTTACATTTCGCTCTGTCGTCGACTACAGTTACTCACACAGTTTGGAAGTAGACAATTTTATATCAATGAATTTCACACCATCTACGCTTGTTTTCATCTGCTTGACACTAGTTTATAGCATTATGGAGTATTATATCTAAATAAATTAAAACGCACCCCCAAGTCACCTGAAATAATTCTACCGTAACGACACCACAGTAAATATAGTAGTGGTTGGAATGGAAATACACACGGCTCGTTGCTTGGTGTATTTAATCATTTAAAAAGTTTTAAACAATTTCCATAAATAAAGGCTATGAATAATTTATAAGACAATTTGACAAAATCAAAAAATCAGGTCGGAAAAATATTTCATATATAAATATAATTTGTAGTGTAAATATAGTCCGGTAATGTGAGAAGGGAATTCCAGGTGGCGTTATCTGTCCTTTGCACGCGGTACATGTAAATACGGTGCCATGCACAGGTGTGATTTGTGTTTTGATATTTAATTTATTACGGATATTTTAAAATCTGAATTCTACAACTCAGCGGTGAAGTATTCGATTTAGTACGGAAGTGGGGTACCATGATACTTTGCGGAATTCACGTGGATACGGATGATAGAATTGTACGAATCTTCGAGTCGCTGAGCCAAAGCAGATTCGCCGACTTTCAAGAACTTTTAGGCATTCCGATGTCGAAGAAATAAAAAGGTTTCATATTACGATATTTATATAGAGCAATGTACGTCAAAGACCTAACCACGTGCGTGTGTACCTACATGTATGGATATGTGTGATGTGATTGGTCTTTGAGTTTCATAATTGAGAGTGACAGGTTATTTACTGAAGCGACAGGTATGAAGAAAAGCTACCTGTCGCTTGCAACAGGTAGCTTTTTTTAAACATTTCGAGGCCTGGGATAGGCTAAACTTGAATCACTAATATATCGGTTCAAAGTGAAGCAAATTGACTGAAATTTTCAGCATATTCTGTCTTCATTATGCTTTTTTTTTAACTATTATAGCGAGAACTGTCAGCTCTTTATCTAATCTTACCTAGTGCCCCTTTAATGTTACATAATCAATATAAGTACATTTTAGTTTTTAGTTTTATAAAAAATATATCCTTTCTTCAGCCCGTTTCAGTGATCCTCATTGATAGTAAGACAATGAACAATAAATAGAGGTTTTTAAAAACACCCTACCTTTACTCCAGACTGGAACATGGTAACTGCTGTAACAGTTCTTACAATGGCATTTGTTGATGGTGACATGGCTAGAAACCTTTTCAAAAGAAAAATAAAATAACAATGAAAATATTTAATAGCAATTTTGTATAGACAGATACACTTTCTTCATGTCTACAATTTAATACATAATTCACGATAACTACTAGAATGGAAACAATTGTTAACACAAAAATATATATATACACATGTATATAAAAGCAATGAAGTTACCTCATAGACTTCCAAGTATAGGTATTTATATAGGGAAAGTTTTTGAGTTTGCCCTCGTTTAATTTGCACCCCTATCCATAAAGAGGATGGTTTAATAGATGGTTTGTTATTCTGGCATAGACACAGTCACAAATTTAGTATACTTACCTTGAAATTAGGGGACTAAACAACCATAGATTTGACATCAGCATTCTGTACGGTAGACTTAACTAAATAACAGAAAAAATTATAACGTCAAAAATTTTTTTATTATAAATATTGTTTTAATATGAAAAACAAATCACAGTAATGTAAATAATGGTGTCAAATATAAAATCAATGCCTCATTCTATAACTGTGATGACCATGATTTGCAAATGAATTCTGTGCTTGTTATTGTAAAATTAAGTATTTGAAATCATGTAAAATTCATCGATTTTAGAACTCATTTTAGTCAACTATAGATTATTTACAATTACTTCAAGACGAAATATTTCCTTGTTAGATCATACTTTACTATTTATTAGCAAAATATGATCTGGTAGCCAGTTTGTTAAAATAGTGCACCGAGGAGTGAGTAGGTGGAAGTGAACTACCAATTACTTCCTATATCAAGCTTTTGAACAAGAACATTCAGCCCAATAGAATTCATGTCTACAGATAAATCATTAGTGGTCTGCATCCAGGTAATTAGTCTCAAACCAAAGATTACATAAATGATAAATTTATTCAAAAGTAAAACCCACCTCTGACGCTATATGTTCAAACATATCTTTTTCTGGTCCATAACCAAACATACTTGGATGTGGTGTAGTTTCTAACCTAAACAAGTCAATAATAATAAGTACATACCGGTACAAAAGGGTACAATGTTCTCGGAGTGGTTGGAAATAAAATCAAAGGGTTTAACGTCCGATTGTTCTGCTACAACTGGGCTAATGAAGATGACCATACACCATACAGTGTGCTATGAGGGATATTTTGCCCAGACAGCAGTGCTACGGCCTACTCTTATATCAACTTCCAAATACCATGGAATGTTTTATGTGTACGCAGGACCTCGGTTTTTCATCCCATCCAAACGACTATACATCGTCCCTTGCCAGGCCTTCTGTCCCACACTACTTACAAGGGGGAGCCACGCCAGAAAATCCTGATGAGCTTTTTTCAGCCAATGCAGGAATAGAGTAGGAGCCCAGGCGGTTAACCTAGCTGAAAAGTGTACCAATTTTCCCCTATATGGTATCAATGTATGTATATCTGGTATCATCAGAATGTAAGTCTGCGGGGTTTCTGGTGGTGGCTGTGGTATTCCACGCCCAAAATGCCATGCCCCCCAACTAGTCTAGATTAGCTCAAAAGTGTACCACATGAAAATCGCACAGCAATGTACCGTACATCTTCAGGTATTACAAAAACACTCTGACAGACATTTCTAGTGGTGGGGTACCCCTGACAGAGCTATGTAATTGCCAGACATTTGTAGTGATGGAGTATCCCTGACAAGAGTTATCTAATTTCCAGACCAAAGCTAGACTAGATTAGCTGAAATCTGTACCACCTAAAACAGCTTTGGAGTTGTTCAGTACCACCACAGGAATCATGAATGACCACTGCCAGACAGTTTGTGCGGTGGGTTGCCCTTAACAGACATGCCCAAAATAACACGACCCCCAACTAGGATAGATTAGTCGGCACTGTTCCTGTGGTCCAAAAAATTAAAAATTATGCCAGGATGCGTAGAATACTAATACCTAGCACATATGGAAGAGGCAATAAACTGCGGTTGTAGGAACAATTTTATTTTTAAAAAACGCATTTTTAGCCCCACAAAATGTTTTTTGCCCAAAAATCAATTTCTTGCAATCGCAGTTTATCGCCTCTTCCATACGTGCTAGGTATTAGTATCCTACGCATCCTGACTAAAAATCTAATTTTTTAGAACACGGGAACAGTGCCTGTTAAGCTAGCCTAGTTGGAGGCGTGGCATTTTGGGGCGTGTCTGTTAGGGGTAACCCACCGCACAAACTGTCTGGCAGTGGCCATTCATGACTCCTGTGGTGGTACTGAACAACTCCAAAGCTGTTTTAGGTGGTACAGATTTTAGCTAATCTAGCCTAGCCTTGGTCTAAATATTAGATAATTCTTGTTAGGGATACTCCACCACTACAAATGTCTGGGAATTACATAGCTCTGTCAGGGGTACCCCACTACTAGAAATGTCTGTCAGAGTGTTTTTGTAATACCTGAAGAGGTACGGTACACGGCAGTAAGATTTTCGTGTGGTACACTTTTGAGCTAATCTAGCCTAGTTGGGGATCATGGCATTTAGGGCGTGGAATACCACACCCACCACCCGAAACCCGGCAGACTTACATTCTGATGATACCAGATATACATACATTGATACCATATAGGAGAAAATTGGTTCACTTTTCAGCTAGGTTGACCCCCTGGGCTCCCGGTCTAGAATCAACACGAGACCTCCAGGTTAGTGAGCCAACGTCTTATTGACTTAGCCACCGTGGCTCCTAAGTGGTTGAAGTGAAGGAAAATTAGATAGCTGTACAGTTTTGGGTTGTTTTTTTCAACTTTATGTAATTATTCAGGTAGTAACAAGTAAGAATAATCAAAATCCAGATCCACACATCCATTTTATCAAACTTAAATAGTTGCCATGGGATCAAAATTTTATAAAAAACACAAAAGTCTAAAGTCTTTATGACTTAAACTATAATATTTATATTTCTATCTCCCATGGATTAAGCTAGTCTGGGGCATGTAGCATGTGTTATAAAGGGGTCCTAAACAATACACCTTATTAGCTGACTGAGGTGTGTTTTCACAGTTCAGCTGAGACACATTCTATTTTTGCTATGACTTGAAATATCATTGCATTTATGCACATCGGATACCACACTTCCATTAATTACTGTGTTAAAATAATAACACCAATTAAAGATGATAACTGGCTAACCTGAAATACCCAGTCGTTGTAAAAGTTGAGCCCATTATTGTAGCAAAGGCTGAATGAATCAGAATTTAAGGCTTGCAGCACCTATAGTGAGCCCCTTGAAAAGGTGGAGTCTAGCATTTTCCTACAACATGTACGTCACCATGGCAATATCCTTTTCTTCTCCTGGCAATGCTTTTTTTAAATTTTGAAATAAGCGTTGTTATTATTACCACGTTAATCTACCTATGAACAGCTTGAATCAAAATGCTTAAAGCACTTTCCTTTGGAGGCATGGAGGAATGACCTGGTTTGCCTTTCACCTTTAACCTTAAGATAACCTGACCTTTTTCTGATGTACCAATACTGAAATTATACAACATAATAAAATAGTAGTCATAAATGCCATTATGTATTCACAAGAAAAGGAAATATAAATAACACCTTACTTAAAGGTGCAATGTAAACAGATGGCTAATAAACATGTTCCATAAATTTGCAATCATGTGCCTGTCTGGTGATTCCCTTATTACATTATATTTATTAAATATGAATCCAAGGGACTCATAATTATATGGTGATATGTAGAGTGGGTATCAGTATGGTAATGTATGTTTATCAGTCAGGGTGGAGGGGGTGGATGGCCTAATGGTTAGCACGCGCGCGCTGTATCACGAGGCCTGTCATTGAGTCAACTGGCATGGTTTCGAATCCCCGGTTGTAATTGACAAGGAGTAAGGTTGCCTGTCCAATCTCGTGGGTTTTCTCCGGGTCCTCTGGTTTCCTCCCACTGCTAAAGACCCCTACGCGCAAGCGAATTATTGAAATAAAATTAAACCATATGTTAGTCCCGAAATGACCTAGTCTGTGTCGAGTGGACGTTAAACCCCATTTCTCTCTCTCTCTCTCTTTAGAAGTCAGGGGCAATAACTCTAACACTGCTTTTGAAAAAACTCTCAATCCATTTTTCCTGGTTCTAACTATCAGATCCCTAACATGTTCATTAATAGAAATGGGCTATTAAAATTTTGAAAGCCAATTACATGAAATTAAAGATAGCGGCATGAAATAAATTAAGAACAGCCATAACTAACGTTAAGACTGATCAATTTCAATAATTCTTGGACAGATATTCTTTATGGTAAGGTTCAGTATTTTTACTTTATTCTGGAATATTGAACCTATAAGATTTATAACTTTGCCATTATTTGACTGACCTGATGTTACTTTCTTTCAAATATATAATAATTAAATAAGTGTGTTATTTTTCTTAATTATTTTTAATATCAAATCACTTATTCAAAGTGAATCCAACTTTGGCTGGCTTTTGGCTGGCTGGCCACACATGATACGATACATACAGTACATTTCATACTTTTGAAATATATGACCTACTGTCTGCTAATTATTATAAGTTAGTTAAACTACTTACAGTGCAGATGGTTTTGACAGTCCTGGAACCAAACCATCTAAAACATTCAACCCTTCATCAATAATATATTCTAGTTGATTGATACCTTTCTCTTCTAGTTTATTTGCTATATTGAATGCACCAACTGATCCGCCAATCTGCAAAATTTAATACACTGACTCTAGCTATACAATATCTATCTCGAAACGTAAATCAACATCATTAACCCGTTATGTGTGTAGTTTTTAAAACGTTAACTACCCCCTATTGTGTAATTAATTTGACGAAAAACGTCATTTTTGGACCTTTTCATTCCTGAATACAAATGATAGTAGTCTGAAACCATATTAAAACTAACGGTAAATAGCGTTGTCTCCCTTCAATTAGATTTCCTCGATCAGGCGTAATATAACGCCCTACACATGCTGCAATCGTATGTTCGAAGAATAGGTTGGGGAAAATACCTCCAAGGCCTCATATTACGCCCTACACACGGTGAGTGGCAGTTGTCCAGGACGTTATATAACGCCCTACGCATTTAACAGGTTAAAAGACCATAAAAATGTATTAGGTTATATCTAACTTATTTCAAGCAAACCCTTAAATCCCAAAGAAAATAGACAACACTTCACTGAACTATTCCACCCTACTGTCAGCCACATCATGAAATCTCACTAAAATCTTACTGAGGTTAACCTCTCCTACTTCCTTGTGTTGAGGCATGCTGACTGCATTTAATACTTATTATAATTATCTCCCTTGATGCATTATTTTCAGCTATAACATTGTCTTCTAATTGGCCTAAAGCAATTAAAAAATCATAGGTATGCACACTCGTAGATTTTAAGGCCTGTTGCTCTAAGTAACAGCACTAGAATGTTGCTGCTCATCAAATATGCTACATAAATGACAAGTAGTCTGATATTGTTTTCTTTCAGTCAAGAACCAAGTTACAAAAATACACGACCATACCTCTTCATCATGACCAAATCCTATATATATTGTTCTTTTTGGTTTAAAACCATTAGACAGTAGATACTCCATAGATTCCAATATTCCCTTTAAAAATAAATACAGATAACAAGATTAATAAGGAAAAGATATTCATAAAAATAATCCTTGAAAATAAAGAAAATTAATCTTTAAATAGTATCAAAAATAAGCCATGGACAATAGATTCTGTCAGAGATCTACTATAAGGGGATCACAATATATTTGAATACAGTATAATTGAGAAAACCTGGAAGATGTGTGAATGTTGTATGATATGTTGCAGGAAATATATAAACTTAACCTGACTTGAGTACTCTAGTCTTGAGGTGAAATGGGGTGGATTAGGAGTAAGTTGAAAATATATTGCTTTTGACAGCACATTTAGTGCAATTTAATTGAAGTCTTTAAAAGAAAACCAGTGCTGAGAAAATATGTAGTTTTGTCATCCAAGTTTACCAGCTTAAAAGGGAGAGCTATGCTTACTTGCACTTATATATATTTCATGATATACCATAATCACTCAGTGTATTATCCATGTAATAGTAACAGTAAGTTCATGGGGTGGGGGGCGCACTATACACAAATAAAATCTTAAAGACAAAACTGTGGACAAGACACAAACTACACAGACATTGCAAGCAATAAACAACAAAACTTAAATCAAGTGAATGGATTCGTGCGTCCACTGCAATGTATATACCACTTCACAACAGAGTTCGTACTATGGGTCCATTTTATTTGATTTAGAGGAAATAAAGACGATAATTCATACACACCAGTACTATTAAATACTTACAAAAACACCAAGTTTAACATCAACAGTTCCTCTAGCATAGATAAATCCATCATGAGTTTCCGCACCAAAAGGGGGATAATCCCAGTTTTCTTGTTGAGCAGGTACAACATCAAGATGGCTGGCAAGTAGATATGGTATTAAACTAGTATTGGTACCTTGTATGGTGTAAAGTAAACTGTAATTTCCCACCACATCTAATGTCACAAGTGGAGAAGAATGCACTATTGGATATTCTGGAGGGAAAAAGAACATGTAAAAGTTTCTTCAAATTCAAATGCACCATTAGATGGGGTTATAGATGCATGTATGGCCTCTTAGATGATTGGACCAAGCTAGTGCAAGTCTTGAGTATTATCTTTTCAGTTTGAAACAACCAGTGATGGCAAAGTAAACCGCAGGGATGTCAATTGGCAATCCTCAATACATTTCAGTAATTTGCAATGTGTTTAAATTTATATTTGGACATCATGCCTATAGAAAGGTTAACCCAGAAAGTAGGAGAGATTATTTGCCATCCATATTCAGTACTTGGTACTCTTTGCATGATAAGGCCTGTAGGCTAATCTACAACTACAGGTGTGGAATGCTGTTTATGTGCTTTACAGCCTACTACTTTTGCTTGAAATAAATTACATGTAGCCTAGGCCTACATGTCAACTTTTTTTTTCTTTTTTTTTTGGAAGGAAAAGGCTGTTATTGTTCGCAGCTTTACCCTGTAGGCTTTTTTAAATGGTCCACTTACGGTACCATAACAGATAACATGTACACACAGATCAAGGCATAGCCTAGGGCCTACTATCTTGTCTGAATATTGCATAGACTATATAGAGTGTATAGTTCAGCTCTGAACGTAGGTCTCATTACACTCGCCCTGTAGGCCTACTGGGCGAGTGTAATGAGTCCTACGTTCAGAGCTGAACTATAGCCTATAGAGTGTAGTCCTAACTCCTACTCCTGTGTATTTACCATTGAAAAGGATCATTAAAATCATATGCACCACCACAACACAAGCCCAATGTTTTTTGTATGCACTCTCGGTGTGATTCTTTTTCCCTATTCTTGATTTACGGTACCGGTATGCAATTATTTATATAATAGGCCTACCGATCTATAGATGTAGGCTAACAGTAACAGGCTTATGTAGGCTAACATGGGCCTACCGATAGGTAACTCCAAAAACAGAGAGAACAAAACAATAAATCTTAAGAAATTTAACCTTTTTTAATTAAATTTTGTATATCTACCAAGGCCTGCTCACTAATATCGTCAACATCTCTTGAAACTGTTTGGATTCTTAATCCTTTTTTAAATCTTTCCAAAATCTGATCATTTAGTTTTATAAAATCACTATCAGAATTTTTACATTCTGCTACTTGGTCAGTTCTTACAGAAAACGTGAATGTTCTGACAACAACTATTACAACTAATACACCCAGAAATAACCCAAAACCACCACAACAATATTTCACACCACTCGTCATCCTGTTCCCTGTCACATGAACTTATGAAGTAAAAGTAGAGTGCTCAAAGTTCGGGTAAAAGTGAGTTATCCACCCTTGACTTGATTAAAATCAAGATAATGTTTCAATATGGTATTATAAACTGTATGTAAAGAGGTACATGTATGTTTCGTTGTGGTTTGGGTTCATAATTTAGTTCCTGTGCCTATTATCGGTAAATATTCCTGCATCCGATATATTTTATTTGGAACCTTCCGATGTGTCAAGGGAGGGAACTGTGTTTTAGGCTATTGATCTAGCCCCTCAGTCAAAATGTCCAATAAATGAAAGCACTTAGCAGGTCGAACTTAGGTACGGCGTCCTGCGACAAGAAACAATGTGCAGCCAATATGACCACCATACATCCCCATTTGACCTGATTGATCTAATCTAATGTGACTGCGATATCACTGCCGTGGAAGCAGACTTCGACAACTGCACGCTTGACCAAATGGGTGACCTTGACCTTAAACATAACAGTAGATACAGCCGTTATCACGAGTTAAGTTGAAGATTTTTTGGGGTCACTTGGTGTTATCTTATCACTTTGTCTATGTATTACTCCAGATATTTTACAAGACAATTTAGCACAGCTCAGGTGAGTGTAACAGGGGTCAATAAGGTAGATAAGATGAACAAAACGTCATCTTCGTTTCGCCGGATGGTGATTAAATTAGCAAGTGCCCGCTCTGCACGTTATTTTGAATGATATTTACCGTTGATTATATTTTTTTTTTCTTGCTTAATACAGGCATTTTTTTTCTATATAAAAATGAAAAGCAACACTGTAGTAATAATTGGAAGAATAATCTAAACTGATTCTGTTCTTATTCGTGTACTATGATCTAGCATACTGCACGTGTCGATTTCTTAATTATCGTCTGCTCTATCTGGCCACGTTTCTATGATGATGTAATACCGTTAAAGCTAGTCGTAAGTTACAATCTATACCGGCAGTGAATAGACAACTACTACTATACCATAGGCTCAGACACATGGGTAGCAGACTAATTTAATTTCTTGCACAGCACTTAACTAAAATCCAGACTTCTCATTCAAACCATTATAATTTAACTAAAGTTTAAAGTAAATGGACACAGTGGAGAATGTCAAATTTAAACTCCGTTAATGATCATGATGGGTTTTTCCCATTTGAATGAATAGGCCTACCATATTATTGATACATTACCAGTTTACCCACATGTAAAAGGTGTATGTAACCTGTTACGGTAGGTCTATAGAGAATAAGGAAGTTTAGGAGTGAATGATAAGTGTAGCCTACTATACAGACAGGGGCCCCCCAATTTTTTTTGCCCAAAGCAAATATGTTACAGAAATCTGATTAAAATACAGATCTATATTTCATTTCGTTTTTGTATACTTTCAATGGCCTACACTACATGAAGATCTGACTCGTTGGAGTGGAAGGTTTGCGTCAGGGGTCGTACAAGTAGCTTTTGACCCTATGACGTCAGGCATTGATTAATCAATCAGTGTTGACATTTTTAGTGATTTACCCACAGTACCGCGCATCGCACGCCAAGAACTTGCCGTAACAGACCGTTTCATTGGCTACTCCCTCACTACAAGCAGAACGCGGGTTATATAACAACTCCTAGTGTTGTGAAGACAAGTAGGCCTAAAACGAAATTTTAGAATATAAAAAATGAAACGAAATAGGATCTGTGTTTTAATCAGATTGATGTTATACAGTAGAGTTTAACAAGGTGGGACATGAAATTAAGGCAATCAGGGGGCATGCATCGAAATAGCCATAAACATTAACGGTTGAGTGCAAGGGGTCCCATGCAAGCTCAAGCCCGGCCTTGATAGCTGGATGTCCTGGTTAAAGTCAGGTAGAATATGTCAGTAATTAAGTTTCTCTTAAATTGGAAGAGTGTAGGTTAAATATTGTTTCTTCTTTCATGGAAGTCCCAAATGAAGAAGATAACAGAACTAAAGGAGCTTGTGGCGCAACTGAGCTCTCTTCCAAACAATGAAAGTCGATCATGACTCAAGGTATACATCTGCTAACTCGCCGTGTAGATGTCCGACATTTAGGGATACGTACAATTTTTCAAAGAAATGGATTTCTCTTTCGGAAGTCGAGGACAATATGAAGTCAGATATTGAGTGAGAGAGAGAGAGAAATGGGGTTTAACGTCCACTCCACACAAACTAGGTCATTTTGGGACTAACATATGGTTTAATTTTATTTCAATAATTCGCTTGCGCGTAGGGGTCTTTAGCAGTGGGAGGAAACCGGAGGACCCGGAGAAAACCCACGAGGTTGGAATGGCGACCCTACTCCTTGTCACGCACAACCGGGGATTCGAAACCACGCCAGTTGACTCAATGGCAGGCCTTATGATACAGCACGCACGTGCTAACCATTCGACCATTCAACCCCCGTCAGATATTGAGTAGACTGGTCATTTTTTAATAATGTATGGGCACGACCCCCAATTTGAGACCTGACACTTCCTTGATAATATGAGAAGAAATATACATGTAAGACCAATTATCAACAGGTTGTATGTCGCACTGAGGGGCCATCACTGATCAGAATAACTGGATGACCTATTACCACAAAATTTTGTTGCCTGTCAATCTATCTTTTAAATTTTGTTTTGATTTTACTTTTAAAATTGATCACATTTTTCATTTTGTTGAATAGTCATGAAAAAAACAAATGATAGTGGCTATTATTAGCCATATAGTTCACCATTCTACAGGTCGCAGTTTTTGAGTAGTCTCGGTCACGCAGAACCTCCTAGTCTTCAAGTCAAGTAAGAGTTGTGCCACTCCCCACTACCCGCAATAAATCCCATAATTCTTGCATTATTATAAACAAACATGAATCGTGACAACAAATTAGGATTAATTTAAAAAACAGAGATATGGCCCATGAAGAGAAAAATTTTACTATAAAAAAAAATGTTGGATATTGTAATTGAACTGGCAATGCAATCAAATGGATTTTCTGAATTGCATGCTTAAATTAATTTCATTGGCGTCGACATGTTAAAATGTAAAAGACGGGATAATCTAGCCAATGACCTATTATTCTCAAATGTTGACAACGCATCCAGACTAAAATTCCTAGAATATTTTTTTGGACGATAGAGACTAAGTTTTTGAGATTTGTTCAAGTTATGAATTTCTTGGAAATTCAATCTTTTCCTGGTTAGATCTAAATATAAAGGCCACCTCCAGATTTTGTTACGGTCACAAGATGTAAATTGGACTAGAACATGTGATTGCTGCCTAGGATTGTGGGATAGGGTAAGGGTTAGGGATAGGTCTAGGGTTAAGGTCAGGGTTAGCCCCGTTTACATCTCGTGACCTTGACGAAATCTGTAGGTGGCCTTAATATTTAGATTCAACCAACTTTCCTTCAATATCTTGAATGCAATCTATGATCAGACTTTTTGGGGATTTTTTGTCAGTCTTTATTCTTTATAGGAGTAATTGAATATTGTATTACATATTACAAATGTCTTTTTAAGATTTCTTATAATAAGTTGCAGAACTTTAGGTATGATTGTGTCAAGACAACCCTGACCTGATTTGGGGGACCTGGCCATATTTCCTGTATTTGATTGGTTGAAATCTGGGTTGCTAGATAATAACACTAAGCATCAATATATCCATTCATGTCATGTAATAATTCTTACACCGGTGGAAAATATTTTTCACAAAAGAAAATTGAGATATATTTTAGCAATGTTTCTTTGTGAAAATGACTTGATTGATGGCAAATTAAACTGGTGATTAGCATTTAATGCTTAACATAAGAAAAATATTGTTCTTGCTAAAATTGCTCCAGTGTTTAAAACTACCTATTCTCCCTACATTATGCAATGGTATTGGTCCCAAGCTCTATCTGTAAACATATAAAAGACAAGACTTGTTTTCAATTGAGCAATAACTAGAGAGCCTAAGATCTAAAACAAATGATCTTTCCTCAAGTCATCTCAAGTAATATTGAATGAGCATAATTCATGTATTAGTATTAGTGCATAGTAAGTATTTTAGCATATATTTTGACAATGTGATGCAGCATTAATATGTGATCAGGATTGTCTAGCATGGATTTTAATATGGTTTTTGAGCTGATTTTTTAAATAAACTAATATAGGTAATTGGAATAGATTTATTGTTTCTTAACAAGGAAACAATTAATGTAGCTGTAGTCTGGCAGTTTGAAATTTAAGGATAAGGACTAGTCAATTCTCTCCACCTTATGGATTACAAAACACAATTTCACTCATTGCAAAACTATAAACCTTCATAAAAGTTCTTGCAGATTTTAAGTATTGATAGACAGTTGTGTTTTGTAATTCAGTGATGGGAGACAGTAAAGTGTTACCAGCACTAGTAGTACCGGAGTACTCTACAATATTTGGTCAAACATGGCTTGTACCTTTTTTGCCTCTAAGTCTTATGTATGACTGACAGCAGTGCAGGCATGCATCAAATCTGATCATTTAGAGATGTTTTTGGGAGGGGGGGGTTATAAACAATATTTTTATTCAGGATGTCTGAATGGGATTGGGGAACAGGCTTAGCCTATGTGAGGTTTTTAGATCAAAAAGTCTGTTATAAATTCAAGTGTCATGGTTTTGATCTCAATCTTATACAAGGAGTAGGGTTTTCTATGAATCTGCTGGTTTCCTCCACTGCTAAAAAACCCAATGTACCAAGTACCAACAAATTGTTGCAATAAAAATGTTAGCCTGGAATTGACCAGGTTTCTGTTTGTGGATATTAAACTCTATCTCTTCTTATCCTAATCCATGTGATCTTGATGGTATCGTCTTCAGATGTAAACACTTTTATTAAAATAGAATCATTTCTATTTCTAGTGGGGTGGGGTGGGCGCGAATTGTTTAATATGTGTGCGTTTGTGGATCATAAGGGATGTCATTGAGTCAAATGGCATGGTTTCGATTCCTCGCTTGTATGTGGCAAGGAATAGGGTCTCCTGTTTCCTCCTACAGCTTAAGACCCCTATGGGGCAATTGAATTATTGGAACAAGATTGAAGCATATGTTGGTCATGAAATGATCAAGTTTGTGTTGAGTGGTTAAATCCTATCTTTCTCTCTCTCTATTTCTCTATTCTGGGATACACATTTTTTTAGGGAATAATATGAGGTAAATCAGGAATTCAGTCTGTTGTACAAGAGTTTAACATCCAGTCAACACAAACTAGGTCATTTCAAGACTAACATATGGTTCAAAATTATTTCAATAATTTGCTTGCGCATAGGGGTCTTTAGCAGTGGGAGGAAACCGGAAGACCCGGAGAAAACCAACGAGGATTGACAGATCTTATGATACAGCGCACATGCGCTAACCATTCTGCCATTCAACCCCCTGTCTGTTGTACAGGAGTATGTGTATCTCTTGGCAAACAATTCATCATCCTTGTGCAATATCAATTACTTAATGTCTCGCCTTCGTCCATTAAACCACACTTAGAACACACTTATTTACATCTCTGCTACAGACATTTGGAATGATTTCAAGAATGTATTCATGCAAAATAGCTTACTGGTAGATTTTATTAGACACCTAATCCTAATGTCACAGTACCTTTTAATAGTAACCTACATGTAGATAGTATGAGTATAAATATTGACGCCTGTTACACTTGTTCGTATGGTCGGTACACTTGTTAGTATGTCAAATGTTGCGTCACATATTATGAACTATAACCATCAGATGTACCAAAACAGGTATGATAAGTTCACATTTACTTTGTCTTTAACCTTAAGTACAAGTGTGCTACGTGTTCTTTGATATATTTTTGTTATCATACATGTATGATAAATTTCATTCATTTAATCTCTATTCTATTTCTGATTGTAAAATTTAAACTCGAATGATAAAGCGAAAATTAATCTAAACTGGAGTATTCTGGTATTGCCTTGTTTTTTCTTGCTTATTCTTGCTTCAACTGGATAATAAATGCATAAAATATAGATTAAGTATCATAATGATATAAGTCTATTCTGGCCATTCAGACAGATGGGTGAAAAACACAACTACATGTGTAAATTTCAATTCTGTATTCAAAGATCTTTAATGTATTAGCACCAGGTTGCACTTTTTAACTTGTGGACAGTTTTGACAAATATTGCCTGAGAATTAAGGCAAGATTCACTATTCCTTAGGAGTGAAGACCATTTTGACAAGCTCTAGCTGATGGCCCAAAACATGTTAAAGTAACTGCAGGACCAGCTTGCTTTTAGGGGCAAAACTTGATGTTACATAATTAGCCGCCATATGCCGTCACAGAGCAACTCACCTGAGGTATATGTTAATATTTTTGTGTTTATATTTTAGGCTGTGCTGAATAAAATGAAGATTGCTGTAATAGGACAGAGTTTGTTTGGAGCTGAAGTTTATAAACTTCTTCAGAGAAATGGACATGAAATTGTTGGTGTTTTTACTGTACCAGATATCAATGGAAAACCAGACCCTTTAGGTAAAAACAACTGACCCCTTAATTCTTAAATACAGACGTTGTACAAAGTACTTATATAAGATAGAGATCCTATAAAACCTTACAAAACCTTGCAATCATGCAAATTAATTTGCAATGCTTTTGTAATGAAAATTAAAGAATTGAGGTTAGGTTAACATACTGGGTACTGAAAAAGAAACTCATCTGTTTCAACACGGCCATTGTATATCAGTTATGACCGCTTGAGTTCAAGTTTTGTATACTTGCCAATGTCCACTCTTCCAGCAATGAGTGGCTTTTTACGGTAATCCTGATTTTGTGTTTCAGCTGCAGCTGCCGAGAAAGATGGTATCAAAGTGTTTAAATATAAAAGATGGCAGCTGAAGAAAGTAGCTATACCAGAAGTGTTAGAGGAATATAAAGCTTTAGGAGCTGAATTAAATGTTTTACCATTTTGTTCTCAGTTTATACCGATGGATGTTATAAATCACCCATCTCATCAATCTATTATATATCATCCTTCATTACTACCAGTTCACAGAGGTGCTTCAGCCATTAACTGGTACTATAATATTTTAATTGTACTGATTTATAGAATGAAATATATATACTGACATTGTTGATATAGGGAGTTGAACAGCATGTGCAGCAGATTATTATTTAGATTTGTGACTTTAGTGTCAGTTCCATGTTCGTTCCTCACGATACTCACGATAACGACCAGTGAAATCTTGTCGAAACGCCATGTGTATATACATGTAATATAGTGATTGTTATCCATAGAACTGTGTTGTATTATATTATTTTCAATCGCTAAATACCACTCAAAGATTAGACCCATCAGGAATAGATAAGACAAAATGTTTATTTCATCAAGTCATCCATTAAGGACAGCATGCATACAAAGTCAATGTTCAATGTACATTTAAAAAGAATCAAATACATTACACAGAAAACACATACATGTACATACATGTATTTACATTAATTGGACACCGTTCATACAAACATACTTTTAAGAGAAAAGGTTTCTTGCACTGTAAATTAAAAAGTTACGAGGAAAATAACCCAGGCATCAAAAATTTATATACCAATAGAATGTAGTTTATGTAAAATATCTACTCTAGTATAACTCACATGAAATTGGCCCTTTTTTTTTCTCAGGACATTGATGAAAGGTGATAAAAGAGCAGGTTTTACTGTATTTTGGGCTGATGATGGATTAGATACAGGACCAATTTTATTACAAAAACAAACTTATGTGGCGCCAAATGACACTATAGATTCTCTGTATAATAGATTCCTCTTTCCTGAAGGTGTCAAGGCCATGGTAAGCATTTATCTATTAGTGATCAAACAGTGATCACTGATTTCTTACTAGCCTCAAATATGATTACATTAAAACGTCTTTTAAATTCAATTTGAAGAATGTAAGCATCTTTCATTATATTGACAACACATTTTAACTTCTTGAGTGTAGGGATCCAACATTAAATATTTCCTTGCAACATGTTAAATATATGAATATCTTCCTAGGGTGAAGCTGTACAGTTAATAGCAGACGGTAAAGCCCCTAAAATTGTTCAACCAGAAGAAGGTGCTACATATGATCCTCTCATTAAAAAAGATAAAGTTCAAGTAAGTTCTACTTTAGATTTAATGATATCATATTCTACAAAGACCCATGTACCGACCTTATTCAGTTCACTCCATATCAGATAATTTCTGAGGTATTCTTTGACCAAAAATAGAAGAAACATTTCAAGATTTGGTCAAGATATTCATATTAAGCAGGGCTTGCCACGAGACGCGAGCAGTTGCTCGCGCAAAATTTTAAGAAAAACCTGTAAAAATAATCAAAATATTGACAAGTTTATTGTCGAAACTGACCCAACAATGTCAATAACGTCATAAATGCGTCTGTCAACCTGAGATTCACCCAGCTGCACGCGGCGTTTTCACCTTAATTTAATTGGCTAATGAAGTAACCCGCACACTCAGGAGGTCAAGTCGTGTTACTAAAAATACACTTTAGACCTGAACGTCATGACTGGTTTTCCTACGAACACCAGTAACAAACGCGTGATAATCGAGTCTAAAGTAAAGCATGTTTACATCCGGCATTTGACATTCACGCTAAAATGAACACATTCCAAACTAATATATATCGGTATTTTGTATTTTATCAGAACTTCGGTTTTTATTCCATCGTGCAGTCGTATGATTTTCAATCTAAGCGTAATAATGGCCAAAGGAAACCCGATTGCCCTATCCACATTTATGTCGTGGGGTGAAGAAATCCATACGGAAATTGGTTTTAAAGAAGAGTATGACTGTCAAAAACAGAAAGCGATAGTCACACATGTTTACTGCAAACTATGTGCCAGGAATAGCAATTTTCTTAAAACAATGGCAACAAAAGGACAGGTGTCGAATGATATCATGAACTATGTAATAGGAACCAGTTACATTAAAAAATTCAATTTAAATAGGCATCTTTCGGGTAGAGCACACAAACTAGCAGCTGATTATGATAAAATGCAAACAAGTTCAACAAGTGATAGTCCCAAGCCAACGTCAAGTGACCAACCCAGAATAGATGCAACATTGAAATCTTCTTCTGTGGAAGCCTATTCAAAACTTTTTAATACAGCATATAATATAGTTGTGCATGGAAAACATTTTGTTGACTTTTCATACATTGTCAACATACAAAAAGAAAATGGTGTTCAACTTTTGAAGGGAAAACAAAACAATAAACTATGTGCTGTTATGACACAATTTATAGCTGAAAGTATTCAAGACAAAGTGTCTGAAATTGTCAGGCTTAGTGCATGCGCATTCAGCATTTTAAATGATGGTAGCCAGCCCCAAAAAACAGGAGGTGATTTGGAACTTATATATATAAGAGTACTAGGGAGTGAAGGCCTTCCTTGCTATTACTGTGTTGGTCTTGAGGAATTGGCAGCGCATGGTGGAGGAGACGCTGAATCTATTAAAACCGCCATCGATGACACATTTCTTCAAAAAATAAAATTAGATGGCTCGACATATCAGGATAAGTGTATCAGCATTACAGCTGATGGGGCATCAGTGAATACGGGAAAATACAATGGTGTTTTTACACGATTCACCAATGACAGGCCATGGCTATTGACAATACACTGTGTTGCCCATCGTGCTGAACTAGCTGCTAAAGATGCCTTTTTGAAAAGTGCAGAACTCAAGGAGGTGGATGAGTTTTATTTAGCTAACTATAAACTTTTAAAAAATTCTGGTAAATTAAAAGGAGAGCTCAAAGCAGCATGTATAGCAAGTGACATTCCCTATTATGAATTGAGCAAAATTCATGGAACCAGGTTTCAACACCATCGCAGGGAAGGTTTCAAAAAGCTAATCAAAATGTGGTTCCCTTTGATAACCTGTTACGAAAATGCAACTGTGAACTTAAAAGGTCACACTGCAGAGACCAGAGCAAAGTTAACAGGATTTTTGAAAAAACTCCACAGATATGATTTCTTTACTGCGGTTTGCACATATTTAGATATATTAGAAAGTTTATCTTTTCTGTGTAAATGTTTCGAGAAGGAACATATTTTAGCTTTTGATGTGATGTCTAACATTAACATTACTAAAGAATCATTAAATGAACTTTTGAATGACAACCCAAGTTTGTTAGAGTTAAACTCGAAGTATTGTCAATTAGTTTGTATTTCTGAAAACACAGACAGTAGTAGTTTATTTAATTATAAAATAGTTAAGGAATTTTGTATTTCTGGGGATAGGAAAAAGGAAATAAACAAGACATATAAACAATTAGAAATACAAAACATAGTAAATGTAGATAAGGCATCAAGTGTTTATAATAAAATTAAGCATATTGTAATTACAAAACTGAATGAAGCATATATTAAGAGGTTTGAATCTTTTGATAGCGATATTTTCGTTGCTATGGAGTTTATAGACCCAGCACGGTGGAATATGTCCGAAAAGGATGAATTCAAAAGTTATGGGGTAAATGAAATAGATTTGTTAAGTATACACTTTGACAAAACACTGAAAATTCAAGGGTATAATGTACAAAAATGTTTATCTGAATGGAAATGTTTTAAAGTTGAGGTTAAAACTAAATATTTGGGTAAAAAGTGTCTAGATCTATGGCAATATTTTTTTCTGTATAAAAAAGAGTCATTCCTAAATTTGTGTTTATTAGCAGAAATTATTTTAACTGTGTCTGTGAGCAATTGTACTGTAGAGAGAGGTTTTAGTTTTTTAACTCACACTCTTTCAGATAGGAGATTGTCAATAATTCATAATAATTTAAGATCATATATCATAGTTAGGAATAACCACTTTGCATTCACTGAAAGTGAAAGAAAGGACATTTTAAAAAGAGCTGTAAATAATTATTTGTCCAGGAAAAGACGCGTTTTAGACAATAGGTCTTCTGTTGGAAAAGAATGTAGTAGTCCCAAACGCCAGCGTCTTCTTGATAAAGACTACAACATAATAGATTTAGATGTCGACTCTGACTCTCTAAGTTGTAGTTCTTCTGATGTTTCTGATTCTGATGGAGAATCAAACTAAAATCTGAAAAAACTTACACTGAGACAAATCATATTAAAAATAAAAATTCTATTACTATATTCTGCTGAAATATGGAGCATGGGATATAATATCCGTCCTGTACATTATGTTATTAATAGAATTAGAATATCCGTCCTGTATTATATATTACTATTTTGTCTTGCTCAGTCTTAGCTATGATCCTAGTCAATCTTTTTTTGTTTTATAATATTTGTTTTTGATTATGTTTTGTCATAGTGCCAACTCTTAGTATCTAACTAAAGAATTCAATTAATGATAGAATGGGTCCGTCCTGTATTTATTGTTGAATTGTTGCTCAATCGTTTATTTTGTTGTTTTGTTATAAAGAATTGAAAAATAAATATATTACAAACTATAAACAGCTTTGTCATTATTTATTTATTTATTTATTTAACAAAAGTATCCAGTCTACAAATTGATTTTAAATTGAAACAATGTAACAAAATGTGTGCTCACGCAAAGAACATTTGCGTGAGCAATTTTTATTGCTCGCCTTGCTCGCCCAAACCTTAATTTGCGTGAGCAGTCATCTGCTCGCCATCAATTTATTCGTGGCCAGCCCTGTTAAGTATCTATATATAAGTGATACAAGCTGAATAGATCTATGAACAATATGTATCTGTCTTGGATTTAAAACAAATTGGAAGGATTTGGTAGTGATTAAAATGAGAAGTATTGTACCTAGAGCCCGTAGAGGAGGCTGTAAATTTAAAATGATTTTGAAAATAGAAAATATTATACTCTGGGGCCTTATTCATAAAAAACTTAAACTAAAATATATTTAAAATTCTGCCCTTTCATTGGCCAAGAGCTAGAATGTTAACCCTCAACCAATGAAATTGCAGTTAAAATTTTGTGAATAAAGCCCCTGTGTTGTACAGAATCACGTAGGATTGATGTCAAAATATAGTTCACACGTATGGTTTGTTTGAATTAGTAGGCTATCATGTTATATATAGTTCACTATCAGTTGTGTTTTTAAGAATCCTATAGCATATTTTTTTTTTATCTCAGATTAATTTAGATCAAACAGCTGATGAACTACATAATTTTATCCGAGGTAATGATAAAGTTCCTGGTGCATGGTTAATCATTGATGGAGAGGTAAGGTGACACCAAATAAATAATTTATAGTTGTGATACCAAATAAATAATTTATGGTTGTGACACCAAATAAATAAAGGCCATACAAAAAAAACATATTCTGGTTATCAGATAACCGTGTTTTTATTTTCTCAAAGGATTGTGTGGCTAAATGACTTGCATAATTTATGACCTTGTGTTTAATGTCTAAACTTTACTGTTACTGTATGCCATGGGAGATCCAGGTCGGCGTAAATGCCGGTCACTTTATAAAAAAAAATTGATCAAAAAGTCCCAGGACCCCACCGGTCAATCTACACGCCGTAAAACTAGCATATTTTTCAAAACCCCATTATCAAACATGGCTAAAATCTATCTCCAACACATAAATATAAAATTCTAAAGGTTTATTTACAAGCAGTAACTAACTGTTTTCTTGGTCTACAAATGAAAGCACATTTTATTAGTCCTAATATAAATGTTGCTCCTTCCTTCTCCCATCTCTACCGAGTATAATTTCAATCATTTCTTTCTCATTACTAGATGATTAGATATAGCTTACTTGATAATTATCATCCACAAAATAATGGACATTAAAATATCTATAAATATTCATCAGACGAATTGATGTTCACTATTTCCTGATAATAATTTGTGATTGCCCAGTGCCATGTATGATTGGCAATAACTAAAATGGAATGAAAAGGAATGAGGTTCAACGTCAAACTCACACTTGTTGGCACCATCCATGCCAATGAAGATTGGCATATAGTATACAGAAAACTTTGCTTGGACAGCAGTATGTCTGTCCTCTCTTCATCACCACACAGAAAAATCCTTTCTTGGCCAACACCAGGTTCGAACCCAGTACTGCCTTATTACCCACTGCCCCACATGAGTCAATAACATTTATCAAGCGTGTAGCATCCGTCAATCCATGATGACTAAGCAGTTTTGATTTGTGTGATCGGTGGGACAGTTTACCCAATGTCACCCAAACTTAACCCATTACTACCAAATACCACCACATATTACCCAACTAATACTACTAACTACTAATCTAACAATTAGTGAAAAGTAATAATAACCAAATACTGCCAAATAATAATGACCCAATACTTAAAGAAATTGTCACACCAATACAATTATTCGAATAACAATGGATCTTTTTGGTAAAAATGAATTATTAATTGCAAATTTTTACCATTTCGTCAACCCCCTTTATCACTCATACTTTAAATAGACATTCAAATTGCAATTTACTGTACACTTTTTGCTAATTTACATAGATATTGCGTTGATTTAAGTATTCTGTCAGTTTTGGGGGGGTTTTTTTTGTCCTAATGAAGTAGTGTGTGGTGGGTTTTGTGGGTATTTTGAAAGCAATATTATAATTATATAACACTTGATCTGTTGTTTATCTTACAGAAAATATCATTATTTGGGTCCAAGTTGTGGACAAGAATGAAACCAAGAGGAACAGAAATAACAATAGAAGGATCCTCACAAAAACCTATTGTACATAAAAAGGGACTGATTCTGTTTGGTAATGATGGTAAAATGGTAGGTAGACATATTTATTTTTAAAATTTTATACGATTATTTTTATCTATGCAAAGCTGCTCACCCTGATAAAGACCCATTTGTAGGAAACCCATTTTGGCCAAGAAAGTGCTTCAGAATTTTCCAGCCTTGTCAGGGGTGCAGGATGAAGGACTTGGCAAGGAAAAGCATCTAGTTCAAATATGACAAATTTATTTTAAAAAAGGTACCAGTTGGAATTTGAAGATGAATAAGGTGAAACGTGACCGTATGGATACAGTTTCCCTTAAAGCACACCACATGGCATATGCCCGTCTTCATTAGCCCCTTTAATGAAGAAAAATAAGACCTTAAACCCCATTTCATTTCTAGGGCATTTCTATCGTTTGTCTTTGATTCCACTGCAAAAAGATCTTCACCCTTCTGTGAAATTATTGGATAGTTTTATTATTATTTATTAAAGGTAAATGTTAGTCAGTTACAATATGCAAGTGGTAAAATGATACCAGCTTCTAAATATGGTAAAGATGATCCGTCCACACAAAAACTAGAATTAACAACAGAAGAACAACAACTGGTTATAAATTTAAAGGTGAGTGTCAAATAATACTAATTATTCATCGGATTCACTAAGACTGTGCTTACGATTGAAAAAAAGAACAGAGACCGGTTGGTTTCTAAAATGCTGATTCTGACCTTACTATTATTATGAGAGTGTTATACATTCTTTGATGTATAGTCCAAATTAAGGTCCTTGGAATTTTTAAGCTGAATTTAAGATTTAATTCCTTAGATGTTTGTCCATTTCTGAAGATTTTTGAAGATTTGTTTTTTTCCCTAGTCAATATGGAATGGTATTTTGAATGTTGATCCAGATTCTACAACAGATTTTTTTAAATGTGGAGCTGGATCTATGGATGTTGTCAGGTTGGTACATGGTGGAAAAGCCACAATAGTAGTATTATTTTAGTCCCCCAAAACACCAAACACATTGTGTTGACAAGATGTTAAACGACATTATCCTAACTTTCTATTTCCCCCCCAGTGTTATAATTAGTTATCAGTAGATTTCCAGAAAGCATTGTTTGAGTTATGTCAGTTATGGAACTTGTCTGGACAACAAAATGTATGATTCCAAACACTGGGACCAATGGTCAGTTTCTAGCCTGAATAAACTGTTATATATTGTGTTATGTATTTAATTTAGATTAATAGAAGAAGTTAAAGAGAAATGTAATGATATTAGATTAGCAACAGAAGATGTTTATATGAATACAGTGTTTGAAGATTTTACTAACTGTGTTATTAGACGAGGTAGAGGTATAGAAGATAAAGAAGAATTGGTATTTGAACCTGTAAGTTTTAACTTGGATGTTCACTGACTTTCATTTAATATATTTTAAAAAGGACATCTTCTTTCGAAACATGCCCATTACTTCCATTGTAAGATCAAGGGCAGTTTTATTGTCAGTATTATGATTGAGATTAAGAAAACATTTAATATAGAAAAAATGAGATTTGAATGTGAAGGAATTATTTTATGCATAGAAAACAAAAACACATATTCAAGTAATAAATCGCTGTAAATTATTTTTATCTACTAGGTAAGAATGCGAGTAAATAATATGGATATTAGTTTCCCAAATCAAGCTTTTATAGACAATGAGTTTGTAGACTCATCAAATGGTCAAACCTATGAAACCATTAATCCTAATGATGAATCAGTAAGTATATTGTTTATCTATATTGGTGTATTTGTTATTACTGGTAAATTTTCAATGTCAGATCGAGGGATGTTGGAATGGTTTTTGTTTCATGCTAAAGGTATGAAATGATAAATATTTTGGAAATACTGACCTGCCCTTAAACTCAGATTCCATATCTATGAATTAAATTCTTAGCTTCCCATATGTGACCCATCAGTCATCTAATCAAATACTCAGAAATACTGCCTAGATTTATGTCTATTCGTTTATAATATTGTTTTTCAATGTTTTGTAGGTGATATGTAAAGTAGCTAAAGCAAGTAAAGATGATATCAACAGAGCTGTTGAAGCTGCAAAGGTAATATTAAAAGTACTTGTATTTACTTGAAGATAGGATCCTTTCAGCATAAATCACAATAAAAAGTCATCATTTTTAATCCACAGACAAACTTTAATTGACATAAATTGGTTGATCATTATTAAATCTTACTGATGTTAAATTTATGCCATCAATAATACTATTCATAATATATAATGCAATCTATATGCATGTGAGTTATCACATTCAAATGTATCTAAAATGTGTTGTTTATAGGAGGCATTTGAAGAAGGACCCTGGGGCAGTATGAATGCAAGAGATCGTGGTACTATCATGAACAGGTGAGTATCACAATTAAAGTCAACCTCACATACTGAGATATTTCCAACAACATTTTGTTTTTATTAGCTACATGTAATCATGGCATATTGCAGTATAATATATTGTAAACAATTAACAATCACACATGTGCTATTGTATCTGCACAGGCTGCGATCACACAACATTGCTATTCAGTATGTTAGATAACAATCAACCCTTCACCCAGTAGAGAGAAACATGTCTATTTTTTAAGATTTGAAATTTTTGAACATGTTCAAAACTTCACTATAAACTACAATGTCAAATTTGAGCAAAAATGATGTTGCAGACTTCCGCAGACGCTACAACTTTTGTCCATCTCAATCTATCATGGGTAATCGTAGTGCTTTATACTGAGTTTGATGTTCAGAATTAAACCTAAATGATTTATTTCCAATTTTAATGAAAATTGGAGATGTGTATTACCATAATTAGCTATAGCATATGGTTGTTATATTTGTTGATCACATGCTCTGCTTTCTTGACGGAATAGTGTATATAGTAGGTCATAATATGAGTTCATTGCACATATTAAAGGAATATTTTGATGATAAATTTATGATAGATGGTTATTATATTATATAGAATGGCTGATTTAATGGAAGAACATCAAGAAGAATTAGCTACAATAGAATCTATAGATAGTGGTGCTGTTTATACTCTAGCATTAAAAACACATGTTGGTATGTCTATACAAACATTTAGATATTTTGCTGGTTGGTGTGATAAAATACAGGTAAGTTTGCTACCTAGCAAATCCTTACTTCAAATACCTGCCACAAAAATATCTTAAAGTTTTTTTTTAAAATCAATTTCTGAGTATTCAGCTTTAAACACCTGATGGTCTGGTGAGAATGTATGTCTAACTTTTTAAGTTGGTACCAAAATATGAAGGTTCTGTGTTGCTAGAAATTCTAACTAACAAGCTAAAAAAAAAGTATGACCACACCACACTTTTTGTGAAAGTGGCTCATATTCTTATTACTATCTTAGCGGTATCATATAGAAAATCCCATTAGTAGTAGTTAGTTCTTTAACATCTGCTTCCACATAAGTGATATCGCAAGACAAAAAATCCCATTGAAATTATGTATCAATTATTGACTGAGATATTGGGCTTGGTTTACACTTTCATGCTACTGGTGAAAATATGGAGAATTACATGACAGTGTGTCTTCTTCCAACTGACATTGCATGACAAGTTTGCTTTTATATGCCCACAAGTGACGTCTGCTCCCACAAGACAGTGCATGACAAGCATGGTTCTATATCCCCATATTTAAGGATATATATTGTCATCACTCCTGTTTTATTGTGATAGCAACAGATAGAGGCCTTTTTTTCTTTTGATTTTTATGAAAGTGGGTAATTATATGAGTACCGGTATTTGTGCTATTTCAGGGTTTAACCATTCCAGTCAACCATGCTCGTCCAAATAAAAATTTAACTTATACAAAACGTGAACCCATTGGTGTTTGTGGCATTGTGGTACCATGGAATTATCCCCTTATGATGTTAGCATGGAAAATGGCTGCATGTTTAGCAGCTGGAAATACTGTTGTTCTTAAACCAGCCCAAGTGAGTATTTCTCAAAAATAATTTAATCTGCATTAATTTTGTTATTTATAATCAAAATAGAATGATCTTTGTTTGAAGTGTAATAGTACGTTTTTAACGACTCGGCATGCCAGAATAGGGTTTAATATATAGTTTAATCAAAAAACCTTTTATTAATACAAATTCTGGTCACAAATTATTTACATACTTTTAAGTAAATCCTAGTATAAAGAATTCATGGCAAATAGGGCTGGCTATGAAAAAAGAATTATTATGTCTAAATTTATCTAAGACACATAATGTTAATAATGACAGTTTAAGATAAATCAATAGCAATGTAAACTTTAAATGATCATAAATTGTGCTAGAACTAGAATGACTGATTTGAATAATTTTGAACCAGAATTTAATGTATAAGAAGTCTTTACAACATATTTAAATACATGAAATACATGTAATCAAATATCTAAATCTTACATGATGCATCTTTAACCAGACTCAGCCCCTGTTAACATATTTTTAAGATATGATACACAATAGTTATTCATTATATATTACAGGTTACACCACTTACTGCTTTAAAGTTTGCTGAATTATCAGTTCAAGCTGGATTCCCTACTGGTGTTATAAATATATTACCTGGATCAGGTCTGTCAATATTATATCACAGTCGTATATCCATAATATTTAAAGGAACATAGCACTCTCAATTTATTTCTTTTAATGAAATAAATCAATGATGTCCCACCCTATTGCTACATTCTTTGAAATTGTTATGCATTTGACATAGCTGCTGAAATGTATATCATACAACAATTTAAAATTATCTACAAATTATTCAGATGTAATTGAGTTTTAATATTAGTTATTTGCCTTTATAATAATGATAAGCTTATAGAAATTAGCATTGTAAAGAAATATACCTTAAAACTCCTAAATTAAAGGGGACAGTTCAGACTGAGTATCTGTTCATGTTTGGAAAGGAGTAATAGTAAATATGACAGTGATATAGGTATTAGAGTAATTTATTTACTATATTTACCTTGTGATATCATTGTAAGATTATATTTGATATCAATCACTATCTGTCAAACATTATTTATATCATTGTATTTATATCATTGAGGTACTTTATTGTATCCCATGCATTCAAATACGCATTTAGGTACAATTTTAAACTAGGGTTTATTAAAGTAAAAATATTTTTCCATTTAATAAGTTATTGACACCAATTTATACTATTTTGTTACAGGTTCTGTAATTGGTCAAGCATTGTCTGATCATCCTGATGTTAGGAAGTTAGGTTTTACTGGTTCAACACCTATTGGTAAAACTATCATGGAAAGGTAACACCCACTCATTAAATTTCAGCTTTAATCATTCAGTTATGTGAATGAATTATTTGAAATAGTGTCAAAAACAAATCTAATCTAATATGTGCATGACATGGCATTACTATTAATGTCGTTTTAAAGCTTTTCGTCTGACTAATGGAATTGCTGGTTGACTTACATTTCGTTGCCCCAGACTGTGGACATCGAGGTCATTTTCATACTACATTGAATTTACTTGGCACTCATTTACAGCGGGGTTTATAGTCAGCTATACAAGGATAAAGAGTCTTATTAAAAAGGATGCATGGATCTCACAACCGAAGTGATGAGCAAACTTTCATCTCCTGTGCCGTTCCCTTCCCTTAGACATATTTACTTGTGTATTCTGAGTATGCCTAACATAATATCAGAACAGAACCTCACTTAAAATTTTGGTGAAGACTGATATCCAGTCAGTTGAGGCTAAGTGCCATTATAGTGATTGGTCATGTTAAATAATAAATAAAACTTCATGGAATACAATTTATAAATTTTTGTTGGAGGAACGATTCTACAATGATTGTCTTGTCATAATGTAATTAATTTCATTATATAGTTTTCTGGCAATTCACAAATGGATTATTTTGGTTATTTTAGTTGTGCTAAAAGTAATTTAAAGAAAGTGTCATTAGAATTAGGAGGTAAATCACCACTAGTTATATTCAGTGATTGTGATTTAGAAAAGGCTGTTCGAATGGTGAGTAATTCTTATTACATTGTATTGCACTAAAATTATCCTAATACTGGTAGAGCCACTGTGTTGACCGAGAAAGTTCATCAGGATTTTCCATCATGGTTCCCCCTTGTCAGTGGTGCAGGATGTTCACATTGGCATTCAAAAGAACCCTTGGTTGTTGGAATTTGATATTATAGTAGGCTGTTGCACCTCATAGCACACTTGATGGCGTATGCCAGTCTAAGCTCATTCTGAACAGAACAGTAGGACGTTAAACCCCATTTCATTTCCTAATACCAGTTGTATAAAAAACAATGCTATTTATAAATATAGATGTGTCTTAAGACTGGTGTTAAAAATATATTGTATGATCCTGTATGATCTATATTTCAGGGTTGCAGCTCCGTTTTCTTCAACAAGGGAGAGAACTGTATAGCAGCTGGTAGATTGTTTGTAGAGGAATCTATTCATGATGAGTTTCTCAGAAGAGTTGTAAGTTTAAACATAGATATTCCTTAACACTCTTTTTTAACTACAGAAATCCAACCATTATACAATATACTAAAAGCCTGAATGTTCCAGTAGGCTAATAGACATTTTACTGATTTAAATTTAACTTGATTAAAACAAAAAAAAACATAGGTTAGATATCATTTTAAGCTCAGTGTCCCGGGACAGAGTTATCTGTAATTGAAGTTTATTAAAGGAATTGGAAATTTATTGACCATATTCCTGAAGCAAAGGGTGACCTAATTCTGGCCTCATTTAACCGCACCTAAAAAATCTCCCAACGGCAAAATTTTGAAACAAAATCCCTTGTTGAACTTCAATTGTGCCTAAGATAATAAAGACATTGACAAGAAATCAATGGAAAATAATGTGAAGTTAGATGGCTAGGATTGATTTTATTTGATAATAGACCAATATATTTTGGGAGAGACTTCTATTTATCAGAAAGAGAAAACATACTATGGTTTGTGAAAAACAACTGTAACTAGTTACAGCTAAAGTGGTACAACAGTTAATGAATGAAATGAAATGAAATGAGGTTTAACGTCCTACTGTTCTGCTCCTATACTGGGCTAATGAAGACGGGCATACGCCATACAGTGTGCTATGAGGGAAATTTTGCCCGGGCAGCGGCACTATCGCCTACTCTTATATCGAATTCCAACTGCCAAGGGATCTTTTACGTGCATTCCAATGTTTACACAGGACCTCGGTTTTTCGTATCATCCGAAGGACTAGACAGCTGTCCTTGTCAGGCCCTCGGTCCTGCATCACTGACAAGGGGAAACCACGTCTGAAAATCGGGATGAACTTTCTCGGCCAATGCAGGGATCGAACACCCGACCTCCAGGCTAGCGAGCCAGCTCCTTAACCACCTAGCCACCGTGGCTCCGCAACAGTTAATAGGATTTTAATATTTATTATGAATAACATAATCTATATCTTTACCTTTTCATTTTGTACCAAAAATTGACAGAAAAATTAGATTTACTTAATCCTATTGAACTAATGAAACTTTGAAATTTTAATGTTTGTAATTTTTTATATTTCTGCGATTTGTAGTGTTTGTAATTTGTAGTTTTTGTAATGTGTGGTATTTGTAATTTGTATTATTTGATAGTTAGAAGAAATAAAGAAGATGAAGATTGGTGATCCATTAGATAGATCAACAGATCATGGTCCACAGAATCATCGTGCTCACCTCGAGAAACTCATAGAATACTGTGATATAGGTGTGAAGGAAGGAGCTACTCTCGTTACTGGTGGTAAACAAGTAAATAGACCAGGTTAGTCAAGTTCTATTTCAGTGTACCCTGTCCAACAAATATCTGTTCATGTAGTAAATTAAGTTATAGGTGGATATGTCCTTGATAAAAGCTTTTAAAAAATGATGATTTTCTTTATCTGTTCAATACATTGTCTGGTTGAATACATTATCTGTTTGAATTAAATTGATGGTGGGTGATAATTCCAGTTAAAATAGTGCACATTTTGGACTTTTGAAACATGCGTTAACAATCTGACTTGCTGTGCCTTTAAAAGAAAACAAATGTCAATAAGTCTGAAAGAATCTGGTTTGATACATGTACATCAGGAATAATTAAGTCTTTACCTTGTCGTGTGGAAGATCTTTTGAAATCAGAAGACGACAGTTAAAATTGAAAGATCTTAAAGTATGTGTGTGAGTTTACTGTTATATTTGAAGAAATACAATAATATACTGTTATCAGATACCTCATAATGATTCAAACAAAATTTGTATTTTTATCTTTTTGAAATGACAAAATTTACCTTTTAGTTATTTTTCTTATTACATCATTCTTTTCTCTTGTTTTTCCAGTGTTTCAATGTAGTTAAAAAAATTTTTTTACAGGGCTATTTTTAGAACCAACAGTATTTACAGATGTTGAAGATCATATGATGATTGCTATAGAAGAATCGTTTGGTCCAGTCATGATTATCTCAAAATTCATAGATGGGTAAGAAGACTAAGATATGATTGTATACCTGTTTTCTCAGTCCTTTCAATTTTTGAATAAAATATTGTTTAAATAAGTTTTTTTCAAAATATCTGATGTATATCTGTAGTGATATGTATATTTTGTAGTGATATTGACAGTATGTTTATTTTGTAGTGATATTGACAGTATGTTTATTTTGTAGTGATATTGATGGTATGTTACAACGAGCTAATAATACAGAGTTTGGTTTAGCCTCTGGTGTGTTTACTAAAGATGTAAATAAAGCTTTATATGTGGCTGATAATCTCCAGGCTGGTACTGTATTTGTTAATACTTATAATAAAACTGATGTAGCAGCACCATTTGGTGGATTTAAACAATCAGGATTCGGCAAAGATTTAGGTAAGCTTTATTCATTATACAATAAAAATCTTTGTTAAATGGTGGCTGATGGTTGGAGAAATAATTGTAGTGTGGGAATTTTTCATTTTTGAAAATCCCTTTATCACCAAACTAGCAAACCAATCAAATCAGCGAGTAAGAGGGTATATAAGCAGCCGAATTCATCACTTGTTCTTGTAACGCAGTCCGAAGGCAATATAGGTATGGGAATAGTAACTATTCCATTTATTAGCCGGGAAAAGTAGTTTTTCCGCCATGCTAATAAACTATATATAATTTTGTCGATGATTGAAAAAGTATTTAAACGTCGTGTTTTAGTTATGAATTCTTCGCGCTCACACATTTAGCATTTAAAGTGGCTTTCTGCATTTTCTAATATTACTGCGCTTTCGGTTCGAATTGTTTTGTATTTATACTCGTTGATCATACTTGGCGCGGTTCACTCTCGCAAAGTGATTCGTGGAGTTTTTTTTTACTTTGCAGACTTTTGTCTTCATGTATGTTGATTTAGTTTTGGTTTTTCATGTCATTAGTTTTATTGTGCGGACTTTGTGCTAACCGGTACCTGCATTGTTTCATGTGTAATGACTGTGCCTGCAGTCTGAATTTTATTTTGCTTGGAGCTAAATCCAGCATGTAGGACGTGGTCTTGAACGGGTGGAACCAGTATTAATGTAGACGGAAAGACGCGTAAGATGCGTAGTTGTTGAAAGTTACTATGGTACGATAGTCATGGAATCTCGAGATTACATTTAAATTAGTTGTTTTTGTAGAAACGTATCTTCATATTCATCTGGTAAACACTGGGATAAAGCTAAACCCTAATCTTGGAACTTGAGGCCCATTTAATTGGTTAGGGATAAACTCCTTCATTCATTCATTTATTCATCTAATTTGTTTAATAAAACTCCTGGAGTAATAAATAATTGTTTGTTTTCTCTGAATTGATGTTTGGGGCAAACCATTGAGCATCCAGTATACGAATCGCTGGTTCTTCTGAATAAACCCATAGTTGGAGGTTTTGTGTCTGGTGAGAAGGGCAGGACTTACTTGACATTTTTTTAAGCTAAGGGTCCGGACGCGATTGGATCCCAGGCACCTTCTTATAAGTCCCTAGATACTTCATTTTTATCGGGTTTGCTGTGGTATTACATATTGGCGAGCCTTGTGGAGTACATTTTTGCCAGTCATAAGCCCCTCCTACTACAGTAGAAATATTCAACATTTTATAATGCCATTTATCAGTTGTAACAAAATTTATGGATATGTAAAATAATCTATAAAACCTACTATTTGGGATTGTGAAGCATAAAATTGTTCATATTGATCTATAATATGTTATGAAATTAAATTCCGATTGATGTATTATGTCAAAGTGTAACCTGTATGTATGGAAATGAATATAACAGTTAAAGAACCAATATTACAAAATAAACAGGAATGACATATTATATATATATATATATATATATAGACTTTGATATCAAACACAATGAAACTTGGTCGTACTAAGACACATATATTGGTCCAGAATGATTAATGTCGATGTATCTTAAAACTAATTTAAGTTATGGCCATCAAAACCTCTTATTACTGCCTATTGATTTCGCAGTCTTTAAATGGTCATGGCATTTTTCTATTCACAAATATTGAGGCTAATATATAATATCTAACATATGTTTTTATATTTTAATCATTTTATAAAAAACTAGTATAAATCGTAGCCTTGACTGTCCAACTTCGTAGGTTTTCTCCGGGTCCTCAGGTTTCCTCCCACAGCTAAAGAACCCTAAGCCGAAACAAATTATTGGAATAAACTTAAACCACACGTTAGTCCCAAGTTGGCCCAGTTTGTGTCGAGTGGATGATAAACCCCATTTCTCTCTTTCCCTTTATATAACGAATTAATATGAATATTTAGCAATTTCCAACTGACATCAGGAAACTACTTATTGGACATCTGCTGCATTGTATCTTTAACAGCTATAGCTCAATATTTGGAATGTTTTTACATTTTAATTTACAGCAACAATTATGAATATTACATCAACTTTTTATTCTACGTTTACAGGTCAAGAAGCATTAAATGAATATTTGAAGACTAAAGCTGTTACAGTAGAATATAGCAGTTAATATCATCAACAAATTCTCTTATTCTAGTTGTGATAATATGGGACCATATTTGATGTACAATGAATGACACAATCTAGTCTTTGTACATGCTCTTTAACCCTCCAAACAATCTTGTCAAATTTACATTGTCATTGCCAAAGTTAATCAAAGAAACAAAAGTCAAGACTTTCCAAGCAGGATCATTAGATATAGTCTTTTGATTAAACCAGTTATCGGTTATTTGTTTTCTGCTTGGCACCTTATTTTTTTAATTTAAATATGATATATTTTGTATAAATTAAACTGTTACGTAGATCAGGTACTTGTAGGGTTAAAATGTAGCCATATTAGAAATCATTAAAAATGTCGGTGGTTGATTCAGATATGTATAATATTTGTATAACTTTTTTTCAGGGTGAGTGAAATATATCTATAGAAATATATCCTGAGAATTAAAAATGTTAATTCCGTGCTTTATAAAATCATGTTATGTCTTTTTTTGTAAGTGCTTTTATGTGATATATATTGGTTCCAAATACTTATTGAAATCCGGAATATTTCTGTTTCTTTTACACTGGATATTAATTAAATTTGTATTCTTTAAGACTTATTCAATATGACTGTAATAAAATATAAATGCACTTGTTAAGAGTATAAATGGCACATGTAATGCAGACCTATGCAAATTGTTATAATTAAGCTGGTTACAATGTTATACATTAAAGCTAACAAAAAGAACTTACTCTGTTAAAAACATTTTAATTAAATGGTGTTTATTGATAGCTTTTTAAAAACATTTTAATTAAATGGTGTTTATTGATAGCTTTTATCCGACATAATACTTGAACAGTTTTTAATTTTATTAAATTTTTTGTTGTGTTTGTTTATCGATTTTGCCATTTTATTTATTTGACCTTAATTTGGTTAAAAAGTGGAAGTCAGTTGTTGTACTGGTAATTATGACTCGTATTTAACATCATTTTGAAGTTGCAATTAAACCCACACGTTGTTCTGTTCACGTCAAGCATTTTCGTCCAAAAGTCTGTTTTGCCTTTTATGCAAAAAGATAAAAATGAGACTTAGATCATTCTTTCCCTGGACTCTTCATTTATCAAATTTATATGTAAATAATCAGTACCGGTATATTGTTTGTATTCCACCCTAGCTGGAACTGAACAGCAAATGCATTTGATAAACAAATTTCATTGGAATATTATATCTTCCTGAATGCATACAATTGGAATTATGAAAGCAGCCTTTAAAATTTAATAACGGTATCCATTGCTATTATAAATGTGTTTGTATTCAATACTGTATATCTTTGTTAATGAATGCATAATTTGTTTATTTTTATTTATAATTTAAGAATTATGAATTACATGTATACGTGTGCTTTACTTGTCTATATTTTTCTGTATATATATAAATTGGTGCAGGACAATTTAGCAAGACCACTATATTTTTATCATTAATTATAAAAAAAGGATAGTTTATAAAAATGTAAAAGAAGATGTATAAAAAAAAATAATTATATGTATATTCATATTTTTATCATTAATTATAAAAAAAAGTATAGTTAATAATAATATTCAAAAAAAAAAAGTATAGTTTATGAAAATGTAAAAAAAAAAGATGTATAACAAAATAATCATGTATATTCAAATTATATTTTTGTTTAGTTTAAGATGACCTTTGAGATTGGTGAACTTTATATTTCTACTAGTTTATTAGAGGGAGAGTTTTTTTTTTGGTTTTTGTTTTTTTTAGATGATCTCCTTGCCTTAAAATTAATACTTTTTATAGAAGATTGGTGCAACATCTTATTTATTTCTTGTTTTGGGGTTTTTTTTTTCTTAATTACGCAACAGATTTTACATAGTAAAGTCATACAGAGGTTCAAAGTAACACATAACATATTTTAGATCATGTGAACTCATTGACCAATCAAATTGTTTTTTTTTGTATAATCGCGGCAATCAGGTTAATTTTAGAAGCCATAAACTAAATTTTGATTACGGTAGATGTTACTTGACTAAGGTCATTATTTACACAAGTTCAGGTGTTGACCGGCAAGATGTTCTTGTACGAAGTTAGTATTAAGTCTTATTAAAAATACAAAGTCAAAACATGTGTTTATTCCTTGAGTACTGAAGTACAGTAGGATGATGTGGAACATCTGGTCTGTTTTAAAATGTAATTATATATATATTCTTGTACAGGTTAGTGCACATTTAATTATACATGTAAGCATAAGATTCTCATTTATTATTTAGAAATACATTATATTTACAAGACCTTGCTTAAATGAAACTTTTTTACCGCAGTAAATTTAATAATTTGAACCCACTTTGATTGGGTAAAAAATATAATAGCTGGTTTGATTGCATTTTCTGTGTCGATTGATTTTGCCTGTAGATAAAGCCTATATAATCGATTGTTCAAGTTTCAACATTTTAAACCAAAAATTTAAAAGCAAACTAATTTATACTTGATCTTTTGAACGAAAACTTTAATTGTGCATCACTAATCAAGATAAAAAACTAAAACAATACTTTAATTCAATACCTTTTATTTTATTAGGCTACATTTTAATTTGTGTCATAAATTCCATTTGATATTAGGATCCATGATAGTTTGGCTTTAAAATGCTAATTAAACTTTACAAATTCCTTTAATAATATAAGATACCAGTAGTTTTCAACAGCTAGTCAATTATTTTATGTTTTATTTTCAGTTAGCCCGGTTATATGTGTTTCTATGTATTATACTATACTATATTATACTATATTAATTGAAATCAGAGAGTTGTGTCGTTTCTAATAGTAAGTTTGTTCAAATTGGCGGAGCCTTATGCTTTAAGAGCATCTCCACAAGAACAAGAAGGTTCTGAAGTGTTTGCAACTAGTTCCAGTTTAACTGTCAAGGGTTCTTTAACATGCATTTTATAGTTTTTAGTCCTATCTGAACAACTAGATACTGTTGTTCCTTGCCAGGTCCTTCAACCTGCACCACTGACAAGGGGGAACCAACCAGGAAAATCCCAACGGAAGTTTCTCAGCCTATTCATTAGGCGTTTTTGTGAACCGATTAGATTTGACCGATTAGCTATTATACGCATTTGTGAACCAAGTTGATTATGCTAATCGTTACATTTGTGAGACGATTTAACTCAACTGATTAGGCAAATCGACCTAATCGTCCCAGGAGGTGTTTAGGCGATTAGATTTGACTTTTTCAAAATGGCAGAATGTTCAACGTCGTAAGTAATTTTTAATGCTTATTGTTGTTTTTCTCCATAAAAAATGGGGTTTTTTTAAAACGCATGTGACGGGTTTAATGTTAACTTTATAGTCCACAAGAATGTTAGATCACCTCTAAGCAATTTTATTCATTTACAGTTTTTTCAATATATTCCTCGATCCTAGGTTTTCTCAGGACACTTTTTACATGTTTTGTCACTTCAGTTTTCCAAAAAATACTTGAACTTGTTGGACATAGGAGATTGTTTCTAACGGCAACCATTTTTCCTTTTTTGCGTAGATAACCTTCATTTGTTTTTAACAAGTCATCAATAATTAGCAGAGACAATTTTTTTTTCTGATCGGTGTCCGTGATGGCAGCCATCTTACCAAATCGTAATTATCAAATTTCACATTTGTGGACCATAGCTAATCAAATCGAAATCATACCAAATCGTACTAGCAAATCAAAACCTAATCTAATCGACTCACAAAAACGCCAAATGGCTCCCCAATTAATTTTGAACATCTCTGCTGGTTATATTTGGAGTTATCCCCTTTAAATTAATGAAACATTGTTAACACTCAAAAAGTCACAATTATTATTGGATTCATTTTAAATTGTAATAAGCAGTCTCATTAAATGGAAGAATGAGAGCATGTATACCGAGTGAGAGAAACAAGCTGACTAACATAAAGCAACTAGCTTACAAACAGCTAGAGAGAAACAAGCTGACTGACATATTATAGCAATTTTAACTAGCTTACTAACAGATACATAAAAACAAGCTTTCATAAAGCAACTAGCTTACTAACAGGTAGATAAAAACAATCTGACTGACAGATAAAGCAACTAGCTTACTAACAGATAGATACAAACAAGCTGACTGGCAGATAAAGCAACTAGCTTACAGGTAGGGAAACAAGCTGACTGTCCTAAAGCAACTATAGTATAGCTTTTAACAGATAGATAAAACAAACTGACTGACAAATAAAGCAACTAGCTTTCTAACAGAATATGCTGACAGTGGAAACAGTATATACAGATCACAATTCTATGGAATACAATTACTGCTTATTACTGAGCGACGTCTCGGATAGTCATCTTTAATCATTATCAAGCAATGATAAAATATGAAATACAAGAAGACAATATATACATGTAAACAACAATACTTGGTTAATGCTGACCAGGCAACCAAAGACACCATTCTAATTACCCTGAAGGAAACCTAACTTAAAGGAGCTAAATCGCTAATATTTGGGACCTAGAAATTGACAAAAATGAGTCGCAACGCATGAATGTATATAAACTGATTTACATTCAATCGTTTCTGTTTTTACTGAAATTTCTAATCAGTTATGTCGGCGAAATACGCCAGAAGTCTCATGTGACTGGCAATCTTTAGCGTCTGTTTTTTCCAGTCTACACCAATGGTATTTATTGTGCATGCTCTCCAGATAAGAATATAGCGTCACCATTTGACGTGACTTGTGGAATATGTCTAGCCCTGTTTTTTTAGTCCCTTGTTTCATATGGCACTAAAATGCATTATGGTACACGATTCGTGTACCAATGGTAAAATGTTTATTTTGTCTTGAATATTGGATATCAGAAGTATATCTTTTCCCTGTAAAATCACAAGACCAATGTTGATTTGAATTGACAAATAATTCGAGTTTTCAATGTTGAAGATTTTTGATGATAATGAGTTAGAGACTTAGCTACTTTAATTAAAGTAATGTAATTATGAAAGTGATCAAGGTTGATAAGAATAATGGTAATAACAACATACACTATGACATACACCACTTTACCATCAATGGGTCCATGAAATAGTACCTAGACTTCACAGTCAGTGTCAAAGCAACTCTCGGTGTGCAGTCTTTGCACCCTGGCTCTGACAATTCTTGCTAGATCAACTGGCTTGCCCCAAAACAAAAAGGAACCTAAAGTCTATAATATAGATATAGATGGTATAGAAATAATAGATTGAACAAGCCAACAGTAGGCTCATGTCCCCCGCCGAAAACCCGAAATAAATAGATGGCACATATTAATTAATCCCACATTTATTTTTTTTCAAAAGTATCGAGCAATCAAATTGATTATCAACTATACACTAAATTCCATCACTCTCTATCAGATATAATCAATGTTATCTTGACCTAAAGCTCTGCTTAGCTTTAGCTCGAAATGTTAATCATTGATCTCATTCAAGACATTCACCTAATGAATATCTACATCAAGTTTAAACATTCTACCTCAATTAAAAGCAGAGTTATGTTCCAAAGTCTTGACCGATCAAATTGCTTATCGCTCCTATGTAGAAAATTCTCATCATCGATCTTAGTCAAGGTAATGATATAATGAATCTTTACTCGGAGTTCCATCGCTCTCACTTAATTATAACTAAAGTTATCGTGTCCCAGAGCATCAACCAATCAAATTGCTTATCGCTGCTTACCCTAAGCAGAATATTCTCATCTTCGAACTCCATCAAGGCATTCACCTAATACATAACTCTCACTTAAAGATACATTATGGGAGATTAAATAAAGAGCTGTCAGGTCTCATTATATATATAATGTTAAAGGAATTTGTTGAAAATTTCAATCAAATTAATCCACTCTGAACCGAGAATTTAGCGATTGAATTTTGGGCCCACCCTCGATCATCATTACTAATAACGGTGCAATAAAAAGCATAGTCTCGATTATCCATTTTTTCGATTTTATAATGGATGAGGGTTGAGCAGCAGATCGGATTATAATCCAGTAAATATCGCAGGCTAGCGATGACATCGAGAGTTGATTATGGTCTGAATAAGTTAATCAAATTGCTTATCTCGATACCCTAAGCAGAAAATGCTCATCTTCGAACTCCATCAAGGCATTGACCCAATAAACACCTACACCAAGTTTGAACATTCTAGCTCAATTAGGAAAGTTATTGTGTCCCAAAAAGTGTGACGGACGGGCAGACGGACAGACAGACGGACGAACCCATTTTAAGAGTCCCCTACTTTCTTCGAAAGGTGGGGGACAAAAAAAAAGATAACCACATATTGTTAATAAATATTTATTTGGCAATGTAGAGAAAGAAAATTATCTTATAATAAAATCAATAGAGAAATATGGGTATCTAGCCTACTATCTTTATATGAATAATTAAATAATTCCAATCAATATTGTTATATATCTATAGAGGAAGTTATCATCCCAGGCTAATTTTATATCAATTATACTGGTTACAAAAATATATTTTGATGATATCTAGGCTGTCTAGATAACACCCTCTCTCTCTCTCTCTCTTCTCTCTCTCTCTCTCTCTCTTTCTATTACTGCTATCGTTGAATGGTTTTATGAGATAAACCCTTTAGTGGCATTTATTATTTGAACTGGGATAATATTCGTGAAAGGTGCCGCTGTGACTCGTTCGTTGGCAGAGAAAGTTTATCTGGATTTTCCCCGTGGTTCCCCCTTGTCAGTGGTAGGTGTAGGGCGGGGGACCGTTTACACATTGGCGGGAAAAATTTCCCTCATAGCACATTGCATGGCGTATGCCCGTATACATTCGCTCAGTTTGTGCAGAAAAGTAGGACGTTAAACCCCATTTCATTTCTTATTACTGAAAACTTGAACTAAAGTATTTAAAGAAAAAATTTTGTTCATTGGCCGAGAACTAAAATAAAATTGTCCATTTTAACTCAAGTCTTGACCAATCAAAAGACTGCATTCTTAAAATGGTTTAATTTACGTTTTCTGAATAAGACCCCTGGATACAGAGAACACAGTTACTCTGTTACCTCGAAACTATAATCTCGATATTAAAAGAATGATTTTTTTTTATTTAAACCTATTAAATCTTTTAAGATATCTACAAATACCCTACTTTATACCTCCATACCTTTCATAAAAAATGTAATATCATTAAGTCAGGCACTGGTGTTTCTGCAGCCAAAAATGCAGAACACGAGGTCAACAACATACAGGTAGTCATAATAGGCCTTATTACCGAATGCCCGATGTCAACATACAGTAAGTAGTTGAATATGCCAAGAAAAGTGTTAGCACCAACACCAATTACGCGAGATTTATTTAACGAATAAAAGTTTACTATCGAATTGTGTGGGCTTAATATTGACGAAAATAATGAAACTTAACGGTTTTCAACAACAGTATTGAAATTTATATACAATAATAAATTATGATTAAATCAAAGCTAATTTGCGTTAACAATTCAATAGCAAACCAGCAGGCGCTCATAATTTCATCGAAACACGACTTTAATCATTTCCCGCCATTTACAACGCTCGCGACAAGAAATTTCAGTGCAGATATCGTTGAATCGCGTGCCTTACCGTTCAATATTATAACCGTTGTTACTGTTACATAGAAAGAGGCTGAGCCAGTAACTGACAGGATAGGAGTAGAAACGACAAATACAGGGCACTTCTTTAGCCGCCAGATATGTTGAGTGGACGCATCTCTTTTATGTAGACTTACAAACTAAAGAGTTTTATCTTTTCGAATAAGGTCTTCAACATGGACACAACGGATGAAGAGAGAAATAGCATCGACACATCACCAAAATATACAAAACCCGAACAGAAATGGATTGACGATATGCATTCGGGGGATTCGACGAAACCCACAAAAGTTAATTTCTGGAAACTGTTTATTGCTAATTGGTATTATGTAGTGACTTATTGTTTAGTCTTTGGCAGTTTTGGTGTGTGTGTAGGATTTTTGGGACCGACTGTTTTTGATTTAGGGTGCCAAACAAACTCAGATTTACGGAGTATGAACTGGGTGTTCTTTGTACAACTTATTCTAACTTTGATCGGATCGATTTCCGCCGGTTGTTTAGCTTCAAGGTGAGTAAAATTAACAGCTTACTTTTACTGTCCGATATATATATATTATATATATATGGAATAAAAAAAAACACTAATAAACATTAATAACTTTAAACTTAAATTCAGCTATTATCAGCGGTACCGGTGCATTACATAAAATAAATATCCTATAAGATAAGTAATATAAGATAAGATGTTTATTTCATCATAACTATGTCGTCTTATTTTACAATCTATAAATAGGCCGAGCGCTAGTATTTGTTTATAATAGGTGTATGATGTTGAACATTTGAATAGAAACCAAGTACGGTGTACATATTGTATATTACATATGACACCATCTTACAGCCATTATAATCACACATCAACCTACCTGATAAAGCATGCTACTTTGCAACCATAAATAAATCACCTATTTTGCAAACAGCCAACCATATAATTACACCATTTTACTATATATGCTGTCAAGGTAAAATTTCCCTCGTAGCACACTGCAAACGTATGTCCATCTACATTAGCCCCAGTGCAGAAAACATATTTTGTTTAACCATTTTATTTAATACTATAGTATCAGATAACCCATACATGCATAATCACACCATTTCTACAGATGTCCATATAATCACACCATTATACCCCAGACCATATAATCACATCTGATAACCAGACTACCATATAATCGCACCATCTTAGAAGCAGACCACTATAAAATCACACCATTTTATAAGCAGATCACCATATGATCACACCATCTTGAAACCAGACTACCATCATCACACCATCTTAAACTCAGACCACCATAAAATAACACCATTTTACAACTAACCTATTCTCTATTCAAATCTTAATGCCAGACTTCATACAATCACACAGTCTTTGAGCCAATCTACAATCCAGCTAGCTTAAACCCTTAAAGGGCCAATCCCGATAATATTTTGGAGAATTAAACTGCTTAATTTTGTGCTAAAATCCCTTAAAATTCTCTACCTTAGGGCCGAGCAACTAACTCAACATATGTGATACGTTTCCAAACAACTTAAACCTGTCAGTCTTTATCTTGAAATGGAGACCAGTGTCCCAAGCTGTATTATGTGGTGTCTGCATAAAACCAGACTTTTATTTTATAAAAATAATGTGTAGGTGAAATTTACCTTTCATTATCAAGTACAGAACATGGGTCATTCATTGTAGAGACCTCTAAAGGAACGGGGGTCGATTATCAGGTCACCCAACGAAAAAATTGACGTTCACGTCCAAACAACTCAATATTTTGAGCTGAAATTTTGAGACAAGGTAAATACACCATTCCTCTATATTTTGGCGCTTACATGTCATACGTACTCAGACTTTTATTTTTGAAACTCTGTTCAAATCGGGATAGTCCCTTTAAACCAAACATCCATATAATCACAAAAACTACCATATAATCTGACTACCTTACAACCAGACTACAAAAATCACACTGTCTTGCATCCAACTTACATGTATTACAATCACACCATCTTACTACCAGACTACCATATGATCACCCATCTTACTACCAGACTACCATATAACCCATCTTACTACCAGACTACCATATGATAACATCATACTGTTATAGATATGAAAGTATAGGGTGTATAACCAAACTCCTTTTTCATTACCAATATTATTCACGCCATTTTACTGCAAGCCTACCATAAAATCACACCATTTACCATCAGCCCACCATATATTTACACAAACTATATAGAAATGTATTGATATCAACAGATTTTAGTTTTACAAAAAAAGACATGGTGGGGACCATATCAACTAAGAAAATAAGTTTTATTGTCATAAATTCAATACCTGGCAAAACAGTGATGTGACTTACAGAAAATATTTTTTTTTTAAAAATATCTATATGTCATTTTCAAATAGCATTCATACTGTATGTGATATATAGACTTGTGTCATCTTCTATTTTTGATATTCACTGTATGTAGGCATGTACTGTCTCTGATCTTGAAGCTGTCTATATGTCTACGATTTTACTAATTGACAGACAGAAATTCTAACATCCTAGTTGGAGGCTAAAAAAAAATTAAATAAACCTTTCAATTTGATATAATTTCAAAGGGTGTATGGTGATGAAAATGGATCTAAAAGCATATATTAATGTAATATAAAGTGATTTATGTTCAATTTTTAAATTTTTTATAGTAAATTCTTATCAATAGTGAATAGTCCAAATTGTACAGCATTCGTTTACACCTTATTAGTCTGTTCTACTTGTTTTTTTAATTATGGTTTTATCGTTTGTGAATCAGGTATTACTAATTACTTCTGCATGCTTTTCTTTGTTCATTACAAATTGCATTTGAAACCGTAGAATACAGGACTCGTGTACTGATTTTAGCATGTTCATTATAGCCTATTTTAAATATTGGATATTAGGATCCCATATTTTCACAGAAAGATAACCACATCAATATTGATTGAAATAGACCAATACTGAATTTTACTTCATGTTTTTAATTTCATATTTTATGGAAAGTACCGAGTTACAGGTAAAGCTCCTTTAATCAAATATCATAGAAGCTTTTTGATGAGCCACATTAAATATTGAATAATTGCATGTAGATGCATCAAAAGTAGAACTCTATTAAATATTAATTGGACAGTCCTGTAGGCTACCCTAGTAATGGTTCGTGTGTTAATGAAATATTTAAAGGAAAGATCAAGGTGTTTCGAAGAACTGCCAGTGTGAAATGTTGTCAGTTAATGATCAATAATACAAAATTAATCAGCTTTCAACTGTGAGAGATTTCTTGTTAACTATGTTATTACGGGTATTTGACAGATTATTATGAGCACATATCACGAGAGCTTAGTTAATGTAGGGTAGATAGAATTTCTGTTATTAGTAGATCATGACATGCAAAGACAAAAGGGTTGATTGGTGTGAAGCGAGTTAAAGGATCGTAGATTTATTTCTGTGCTCAAAATAAATGTGTCGGATTCATAGGTCTGGCCATTTTACTGATTACATTTATCACAATTTGGCCTTCTCATGCCATGTTTTTATATGTTCACATTGAAAAGTGGTTGTATATTGTTGTTACCACCATCCGTCTGTTAGTCTGTCATCCACAATGCTTCTGTCCATGAGATGATAAATCCTATTGATTTTCAATGATTTACGATATTTACTATTGGAGTTTTCGACATAATATTTTGGACATATTATGCACAGGGTTTACGTTGATGAGACAAAGAAGTCTATTAATTTTTAATGATTTCCGATGGCTGAAACATCTAAGGTTATAATCTGATTACCGGCAGATGTTTTGTATACTAAATGTTAATACTAGGAAGAACTAGAAGCCAATGATATTTTAATTATTTCTGATAATTGTTTTTATAGTGTTCTGTAAATACAAAAGAATAAATATGTGACAATCATAGTGACCTTAGCTGCTGTGGGTGTATGTTTCATTGCCTGGCAACCTATATTTGAGATCTGGCAACAAATTATACTAACGATCATTTATGGTTACGCCATTATTAGAAATATATCCATCACTATGTATAGGCTTTTATTAAATACGGGTAGTCAATACCAGTCTCATTTAAATAGCCTATTCAGACTTTATAATAATCAATTGAGCAATATTTTAATAGTAATAAGCTGAATTGTCTGGCCACAAAACAGATTCAAATAGTTACTTTGGTATCACAATGGCACTGTTGATATTAAACCAAAGAAAGCCATTAATTAATTTATAATATTGTATGGTACATGTCACGGTACATAATTAGCCACTTAAACTTGAGACATTTTCAAAAACATGGTTCAATAAATTTTTAACCAACTGAATCATACTTTCTGTTCATTATCTGTCCAGTAAATTTAGAAATTTGAAAATGCAACTATAGGGCTATTCATGATCATGCAAAATTATGACATAAATTGTTAGTTAAATGTATATCTGGGGAATAGTACATTTAGAGAGACATGGGGTTTAACGCCCATTCCACACTTGACACAAACCAGGTGTTTTCTGAACTAATTAATACATGGTAGAATTTTGTTTCAATGATTAGCTTGCTTGTAGGGTTAGGCAGGCAACCCTACTCCTTGTCACGCACAAGTGGGGTATCGACAACCACATCCCTATACTCAATGACAGACCTTGTGATCTGAAGCTCAATTTTATGTCAATAATTAGTTTGCTTGTAGAAGTCTTTGAAGGAAACTGGAGGACCCCTTGTCACGCACAAGTGGGGTATTGCAGCCACACCACTATACTCAATGACAGACCTTATGATCTGAAGCTCAATTTTATGTCAATAATTAGTTTGCTTGTAGGGGTCTTTGAAGGAAACTGGAGGACTCAGCAAAAACCCACGAGGTTAGGCAAGCAACAAGTGGGGTATCGAAACCACACCACTTGACTCAATGACAGACCTTGTAACCTAAAGTGCATGCATTAGTCCATTCAGCCCCCACTCCACCCCCATATTGTTCGGAAAGATATACCCAACACTGTATATGTTTATCTGCAAGATACACTTCACTGTGGTTATAGCTGTTTTGTTTCAATTAAGATAAATTAATATATAATAATAATTGTCAGGTGCAAAATATTGGAGAACATTGTTTTTATTTCAGTATGTTTTAGCTGTCACAGCTGCTTGAGATATAAAATGGAAATGTACACATAGTTTCTCGCACATAGTTATAAGAAAATCAATTTTATTTAGCTGTAAAATTGGACACATGTGAGCAAGTTATTGTATTAGCCATGCATATAAGAAGCTATTTCTATGGATACTTTTCTCTTGATCAAGTTCATACAAAATGTCTGCCGATTGCCATTAAGGACTCATTGAGTTAGGGAAATAGGGCAAGGACATTGTTAATGGGAGTAGTAAAAAGAAACTATTTGGCTTTATAAAAAAATGGGTAGAAAAGACAATAGAGTCAATTTACTTATTTCGTTTACTAATATCTTAGGGTGGTTGATCTCTTAATTGTAATAGAGGGATTT